AGAGCAGGCCCTCCTCAGCTGGTTATCGTTATTTTTCATGATTTCCCTTCTAGCTGGGGAAATGGCCAGCAGCTAGGCCAGCTTTGCCCGTGCCTGCATGCCCCATGTCTCCCTTCCTTTGGGGACTGCCACGGTTGCCCACCATTTCCCATCAGCAGACGGTCAAGCTGCAGCTCAGCCGTGCGAGGATGTCCTGATTTACGATTTTGCAGCGCCGTCCGCCTCCGTGAGCACAGCTGGAGGTGGCAGGAGGCGTGAGGTGAACTTGGGACTGAGCTGGTCCTGGAGCAGCCGCTGCCAGGAGTGCACCGAGCCCTCGCCAGTGAGCTGCTGGGGGGGCTCCTGTGGTACCACTGCGGGCACCCCCAGGGCAGCAGCTGGGCAATGGCTCCTGTCAGCTGTAAATAACACCCAGCTGGGCACAGAAGTCGGGTTCTGCTAACACAAGCCACAATAAAAGAGGTGCTTTCAAGCTTTACGAGCGAGCCCGAGTGACAAACGTGGGGTTTTGCGGGTTGGCTCGAAATGCCAGGACAGAGCGAGGCGGGGACCTTCATTTTAGGCAAGGGTTTTTCTCCGCAGTCACACTTGCCTTTATTACTCACCCGTCTGCTCCCCGGGGTGAGTCAGCTCAGAGAGCTGCCTGCCATCATGGGACCCAACTGGAAACCGGTATTTCAGCACCCTCCTTGCTCAAGGGCCGCCGGGGAGAGGCCACAGCGGGCCGGGAAGGAGCCACAAAACTGCGAGAGCCTGGACTGCTGCAGGGGAAAACCTCTGCTGCATCCTCCTGGCTGCTGTTGGGTGACGTTGGGTGACACAGGTGGGTACCGGCGCAAAAGGTATGGGTTCAGACAGCACTGCTTGGAGCTGGGCTGGGAGCTCAGCAAATCCTGCCCATCGACATTTTTCCTTGCCCTTGCTGGAGCCTCGTCTCTCCTGCCTGGCTCTGTGCTTCGCTCTGCAAGGGCTGGGTCCTGCCTGGGAAGCGGTCGCTCTCCCCATGGCACGCAGCAGCTGCCATAAAGCTGGGTGTTTTGGCTCGTCTGCTCGGGATCTGCAGGCAGGGGGGTCAGCCCTGCCTTTTTTCCCACAATTTGTCTGTGGGGGCTCAGGGCAGCATTGTCAGAGGAGCTTTTAGTGTATGTTGGAGGGCTCTGAGCAGTGGGGCTGATCCTGCGCGCATGCTCCAGACCAGGCATGAATATGCTCAATTTGCTCTGTGCTGGCGTGCCTGGACCCGGTGTCAGCCCCAAATTCTCACAAGCATCCCCCTGAGGCTGGAGTGTGCATCGCTCCTGCTGCTCTGAGCCCAGTGCTGTGAGCTGGCAGGCCCAGTGGCCTTGAAATCTCTGTCCCCCGTTTGCTGGCCCTGCAGAGAGCAGCCGCTGCCCTGGGCTCGCTGCCACGGTGCAGGGATGAGAAATCCAGGGGCTGAAACTGATCTGAGCTCGCTGGCAGAGCCATGGTGCGGGTCTGCAGCGCTCCCTGTTCCCTCTGCAGCAGGCAGAGGGGCTGGGGATGGTGACATCTGGTCAGTGCCCAGCAGCACAGAGCCCCCCTGGGCTGGGGGCTGGCTGCTTTGTGAAACCGGAGTCATCCTCACCTGCACCTGCGGTGCAGCAGGCACCTCCTGCTCCAAACCCTCCTGTCCTGCTCCAGGGAAATGCAGATTTTGCAGCTGCACTGCCCTGAGGGGGTGGTTGGAAGACCCCAAGGCACTTCCCAGGAGGTTTGCCATTTTTTTTTTTATTATTATTATTTTTTTTCCAGGGGTTTGCCTTGACATCCCTCTGAAATGGGATTCCCCCCAACCATCCACCACAGTTTTTTCCTAGGGCAGCACTCCAGCTGCTCAGGAGAACCTCTGGGAAGAAAGGATGTGGGTTTAGGGGCAGAAATAACCGAAAGGCCCCACACTAGGCAAGCAGGGGGACTGGCTGACATCCATCAGGGTATGAATGAAACCGCTGGTCCCTGGGCAGGCAGCATTGGGGAGCTTGGGGCAGAAAGTCCTGGGGGGGAGCAGGAGCCTCCCTGGTGTCATTTTGAAAGTGCCTTCCGTCACCGTGCCCTGCTCTCCTCCGCCTCGGGCTTCTGCTGTACGGCTTGCCAAACCGTAGCAGGCACAGCCTGGTTTTGCACAGTCATTGGAGCCGGTGTTTAAAAGGAGAAGTGAGGGAGGGACATGTTGAAATCAATTTTTTTGACCATTTGCCCATTTCCAGCCGAGAGCTTGAGATAAGGGTGAGGACAGGCGGCGTCTCCGGGATTATCAAGCCAAGAGGTAGGAAGATAAACTGCTATTGATGCCTGTGGAGGGGCTCCTTTTATAGCTGGTTTTCATTTAGAGGAGAGATAAACTTTAAAAAGTGCAAGGCTGCTTGCTCTATAGTGGCCTGTTTTCTCTGGATACCCCAGAGCAGCAGCTACAACCCTGTGCATGAACGAATGGACTTGATTTATACCGGGGCAGGCTGCAGCCCCATAGGAATACAGCCCTATAGCCGATAAGGAAAAGTGTTTTCCTTTAGGATGAGTTGCTTTTAAAGGGAATGGAGAGGTTTGCTCTGTTTTGTGCTGATTTATGGTGTGCGGGAGGGAGGGCTGTCCTGAGGAACCCAGACCTGGTCCCTTTGGAAAACGGGGGGCAATGTGGGGAGTTTTGCAAGGTCCTGCTAATTTGGGCATGGAGTTAATTTTGATTTTCTCTACTGAGCAGAAAGCTGTGCTACTACTGGGAGCTGCTTTTTAGGGCTTTTCCATGGTGTTTCCAGGACGAGGAGTAGTTTGAGGTGCAAATACAGTGAGCCGTGAGCTCTGGTGTTTTCTGGAGCAGGTGCTTGCTGGTAAAACCTGGGGGAAAAAAAGGGCATTTGTTGTTATTGAAACGCGATCCCCAAAGAGCTCTCATTTCACATTGAAAAAATGAGGCCCCAAACCCCGTGCAATCCCTGTCCTGTGCCCGTGGGACCTGTTTTATCCTGGGCACTTCTGGTGACAATTTTTTAACCGAACCTGCCACACTGAGGCTGGATTTTGCTCTCTAAAATCTGCAAAACCACAGCACAGGTTTCTGGCTGAGGACTGTTTGTCTGATGCTCAGCACCGTTTGCAGTCAGCTGTATTTCTTCACCCTTAGAAGGGGAAGGCAGGTGGATGGGAGGCTCAACTAAACCTTCACCAGTTGTTCTCGGGGTGCTGGGGGAGGCACCGGGTGTTTCTTTGCCCCTTGTTGCTTTCTGCTGGCAAGGAGCAGCAGAAGGTGTGAGCAGCTCGGGTGCTGTGCCTGCCTCCTGCCTTTATCTCTGTGGTCGCTCTCTGCTCTGCCAGATTTTGCTTTTGCAATCAAAGCCGAGAGCAATCGTTTTGAAGAGGCAGGGTGCACTTCATGTCTCTGCTGTCCTCTGATGACACCGGGCAGTGGAGCAAGGCGCTGATGGCCCGGGTCGAGGCACAGCACATGCGCCTGGCGGGGCAGAGTTCAGCACTGTGTCCCCACCACCAGCAGGGCAGGAGACGCCTTTCAACTGCTTGCCCAAGGGGAAGCAAACACTTGGCCGAAATTCCTGCAGGCTGAAAAGGTCCGAGATGAGGATGGTGGGGCTGGGAGAGCCCCGAGCACCCCTGCATGTGGGTGAGGTGGAGGCAAAGTGGTGCTGAGCCCAGCCCTGCGCCCCAGCGCTGCACAGGAGCCCTGAAATGGGAGAGCAGGAGCTTGGGCAGCAGCTTCTCTCGAGGCCATTTGGTGGGGATGGGCTGCAGCTGCTCAGGGTCTCGCTGTCTCTGCCTAGAGCTTCGCATCCCTCTGCCCGTGGGAATTTGCAGGAGGGACGGAGCGAGCGCTGGGCGAGTGCCGTGCAGCCCCGACGTCTGCTCCGTGACAGCTACACCGAGCAGCCACCTGAGCATCCCATCAACCGGCTTCTTCCACCTCCTTTCTCCATCTCCCTGTCCCCCAGCTTCAGGGACCTCCTTTTGCCATCACATCCTGCAGGTTTGGGGGGCGAAGGGCAGTTGGGGTCTCTCCTAAAGCAGCTACGGGGGAGCAGTGTGCCTGTATTTAGGGAACAGATGATTGCCATCGGGGGGCTGCCTGCCTCCCCCCCTCCCACAGCCCCAGGTTGACTCAGCATGCTGGGGACACCCCCACACCGCCGGCGTCATCGCCTCACACCACTGTTACGGGGACAAACGTCTCGGCACAGTTTCCACCGTTGTGGTTTCCTGCTTGGACCCAACCGAAATCCCTGCCGGGGGACGCGGCACCTCCGTCCCCAGCATCGCCACCCACTGCCCCAGCCCGGGCTGGCCCGAAGCACCTCGTGTAGGGCCCCCAGGAGGATCTGGGGGCCAGAAATTGGAGGCGGTGGGAAGCTGCCTTCCCCCCCCCCATGCTGCTGTGCCCCACCGATAGGCATCTCTGGGGAGGGCGCTGCTGGTGGGTGCTGATAGGAACCCGTCAGCTTGCCTCGCCATCAGATAAAGTGTTTACAGGAACAAAGCTGACAGTAAAACACCAGTTTCCTGCTGCTCGTTTTTCCCCCCGGTGACCAGCCAGGGGAGGGGAGGAAGGCTGCGTGTCCCCTCCCGGCAGGGACAGCCCCGCAGCCGTCCCCAGGCGTGCAGTAACTGCATCAGTTCTCAGCACAGGCTTCCTCGAGGCCTTTTGGGTGCCACGGGGGGGTTCTTGCAGACCCCCCACCAGCCCCCAGATGATTTCTGCTTTCTCTAGGGTCCCCCACCCGTGCTTAAGGGGTGCGAGGGCACACTGGGTCCCAAATACCCACGCTGCAACCCAGATCCCCCACGCACGTCACCACCCTCTCCACCACCACCACCACCTGCCTTCAGGATTACTTTTTCCCCCCCCAAAAAAGTAAACTTTCTCTCATTAACAACTACCGGCTTTGGACGTGGCACCCCTCTCCCACCCCACCTGCACCCTGAGCACCCCATGGGGCTGGGGGGCGCCTGCGTGGCCCCGCTCCCCTCACAGGAGGCCCGCGCGCCGTTTCCGTTCGCTCAAATGGCCGCGGGGAGATAAGGGCTGTGGTTTCCTCCGAGCATGTGAACGAGGGGAAGGGAGGCCCCGCTGCACAGCCTGCCTTGCCCCCGCCGAGCTTCGCCCCGGGATGGAGGCTGCTGGCGAGGCCCCCGCGGGGACCCTCCCCGGGGAGGAGGAGAGCCCCGAGGTAGGTGCCCTCTTTGCCTCCCCAGGGGATGGGGGCTGCACCTGGGGCTCGGTGGCCCCAAAAGTGCTGGGATTGGGGGTCAGGGGGGGCTGCAGGACCCCAGGGTGCAGGGTTGGGGCTGGGGGTGGGCACAGGGAAGGTGCTCGGGGTGTGTGGGGGGAATTGGGGTGAGCGTGCGGCCAGGCTCGGGCTGGTGCTGACGTTGATGCTGATGCCAAGCAAGAAGTGGGGGTGGGAGCTGGGGGGGGGGGGGCACATCCTGCCGCAAACCTGCACCCGAGCTCTGTGCTGGTGCAGAAGGGTCCTTCAGCTGTCTCCCAGCTCCCTCCCATCTGCAGAGCCCCCAAAAGCCCTGCTTTTCACCCAAACGCCCCAAGAGACTTCCTCCCCGGCAGCCGGGCAGGCTGCATCCCCGCAGATGTCCCCAGGAAATGGGACTGGGGCTCTGCCAGAGCCAAAGGAGCCTCTGGGGGGGTGCCTGGTGCTGCTGGGTGCCTGCAGCACGGTGCTGAGGAGCTGTGCTGGGGGTTGAATGCCCCCGAGGGACTCGTCCTCCCTCCATCCCTGCAGAAAAGCTGCCCCACGGCGGCGTCGCTGCCGCCGCGCACAGGCTGGGGGTGCTGGCAGCCGTGTCCGGGCCTGGATTTAAGCAACGCGTCTGGATTTCAGCTGGGGTCTTGGCACGGGGATTAGCAGCAGCGAACACATTGCAGGGGCTTGGCTTTATCTCACGGAGTCCTGTGCTCGTGTGGGCGAGCACCAAGGAGCCACCGGGGCAGCCTGCCCTGATTTCAGGGGGGAGCTGCAGAGCCCCAACCCCACAAAGCAGCAGCGAGCCCCTTGCCCCCCTCCCATGCTGCCCTGATGCTGGTGGCAAGGCTCCAACCTTGGGCAGGGGGTGTTTGGAGACCACAGCCCCCAGGACGGGGCTGAAGCAGCTCCAGGGTTAAACCCGCTGCGGGTGGAGGAGCTGAACCCAGCCCAGATGGCTGGGGGATTATGGCAGCCCCAGATTTGCCATAAGCAAATGGTGACGTTCCAGTGGCTGTATTTTTTTTTTTCTTTCTATTAGGAGGATCCCAAGGTCATTTCAGGACCTGGGCTGACCTGGGGGTGGGGTTCATCCCTTCCCACCCGCCCCCATCATCCCAACCCTGATGAGCCGGGTCTGTGCTTGGCACAGAAAGGACCAAGCGCATTTCAAAGATGTCCAAAAAAACAAGGCTAAGATGAATTATTTTTTGGGGTGGGGGCGTGGTGCTGTCACCCCATTGTACTCCCAAGGATCCCAGACACCCAGAGCTGCCATGGCTGGCACATGACACCCGCTGCAGTCACCCAGCCCGTGGTGGCACAGTCACCGTGGCTAGGCAAGGGTGGGCGCAGGGAACAAATTGCTCAGCTGTGGCTGTGGCCAAATCCAGCCCAAACACAGGCCTGGCCCAGGGAGGAACCGGCACACATGGGCACAGGCTGAGAGCTCCGGGTGTTTGTAAAACAAACGCCACTTCTGGTCATCCATCGAGTGGGGCTCGGGGTCGTCACGCCAGCAGAGAGCAGTTCAGCATCACGTTTCTTTTCCTGCCTGACAGCCCCCTGCCTTCTGCTGGCTCCTTGCCCACGGCTGCCCTGGGCAGCTCAGTTGCCATTTCTTGCCACCCCTCAACCTGCAGGGCTCGGGGAAGCCCCTGTGCCCCCATCGATGGGTGATGGGGATCTGGTTTTGGCCTTCATGCTGCACCTTGGCCATGGCGCCTTGGCTAAATGGCACCTTGGGGACAAGCCCACCCCGTCCCCAGTTCCCTGCAGTTTCCTCCTAAACCCTCTCCGTGTCTCCAGCCCTGACGGGAAACCTCTCTGCTTCTCTCCTTTCTCCAGATGGACCTGTCCCACCGCTTCTCCAAGCAGGAGGTACGAGTGTGGCCCTGGTGTGGGCTCCCTTGGGGACATCGGAGGGGGCCACCGAGGTGCAGGGGGGGCGCAGAGCCCCCGGCTCAGGCTCCCCAAGGACATCGCCTTTGGGTGCGGGAGCGAGCGCGCCCCATGGCACCCCATGGATGTGCTGGGGAGGAGGGCGAGCGGGGTGCTGGGTTGGGGTGGGAGGGACACATGGGGTGCCCGGGGTGGTGGCGAGGGGTCGGCGCTGTCCCCACAGCTGGCCCTGCTGTACGAGGAGGTGCTCTACACCATCCGGCACCGCATGGGCAAGCCCGAGCCCCACCACGTCGCGGACGCCCAGGAGCTCTACGCCTATGTGCAGAAGGTGGGTGCAGCCTGCTGGGACCCCCCCCAGTCCCATCCTGTCCCCCCCGTGCTGTGCAGTCACCCCTAAAGGACATCCCTAAAGGCACGGCAGCAGCATCCAGCCATGGGGCTGGGAACAGGGCTTTGTCTTGGGCTCGGGGCGCTCAGCCCGAGGCTCTCCCGAATTTCAGCCCTTCCCCAGCCCTCCCGCTGCTCCTCGCCTCCAGCTGGCTGCCGGGGCACAGCGGGAAGTCCCTGGCTGCTGTCCAGCCACCAGGAACAGGGCCACATCCGTCAGCGGCCCTAATATTTATAACAGGCTTTCGGCATGGACGCGGAGGAGCACAGGGTCAGCATGCAGCGGGTCAAGGAGCTGGAGGTAGGGAGCAGGATGGGATCCCGGCTCGGGGTCGGTGCCTGGTCCCCCTATTTGGGTTTGGGGTGCTCTGTGGGTGTTGAGCCTTTTTGTGACAAGGGGAAGGTGGTGGCAGGGTCCTGCTCGAGCCCTGAACTTCCCCACGGGGTTGGGTCTCCAGGACCCTCCTTCACCCACTGGTGTGCACCCAGGCCGGAGCAGATCTTCGTGGCTGCTTTTCCCCTAGGTTGAGCAATCTTTGCTTTCTTTCAGAGCCCGATTTTTTGCCTGAAAGCAACCGTGAAGGAAGCCAAGGGGATTTTGGGGAAAGACGTCAGCGGTAAGTGGAGCTGGGAGGGGGTGGCTTAGCCCAAAAGGGGACGGCTGCTGCTCGCACGGGGCTTGCACGGCCGGGTCCTTGCAGGCTTCAGCGACCCGTACTGCCTGCTGGGCATCGAGGCCAAGAGCCAGGAGCCGGCCCACCCCGACAGCAAGAAGCGGCTGAAGGCAGTGGTCAAGGACCTCATCCCCGAAGACCAGATCCATCGCACACAAGTCATAAGCCAGACGCTCAACCCGGTGTGGGACGAGACGTTTATCCTGTAATCTGCCCCCCCTCCATCCCATCGCTTCACGGGGGCTGCGGGGTGGTTAACCTGCCTTGGGGGGGGGATTTGGGGGCTCTGTGGGGTGATGCCTGCGGGGTCTCGCTGTGCATCTGGTCTGACCCAGCCGGCAGGTGCAGGGAGTTTGGAGGGGGTGGCCAAAATCAGTCTCTTAGGGCACTGATTTCCCAGGACGCATGGTGTGTGTGTGTGTGTGGAGTTCTCCACCTCCACCTCCACCTCCATCATCTCCACCTCCACCTCCACCTCAATCATCTCCACCTCCACCTCCACCTCCACCTCCACCTCCACCTCCACCTCCACCTCCACCTCCACCTCCACCTCCACCTCCACCTCCACCTCCACCTCCATCTCCATCTCCATCTCCATCTCCATCTCCACCTCCACCTCCATCTCCATCTCCACCTCCACCTCCATCTCCATCATCTCCATCTCCATCATCTCCACCTCCACCTCCATCTCCATCTCCATCATCTCCACCTCCACCTCCACCTCCATCTCCATCTCCACCTCCACCTCATCTCCACCTCCATCTCCATCTCCATCTCCATCTCCATCTCCATCTCCATCTCCATCTCCATCTCCATCATCTCCATCTCCATCTCCATCTCCACCTCCACCTCCATCTCCATCATCTCCATCTCCATCATCTCCACCTCCATCTCCATCTCCACCTCCCCCTCCACCTCCATCTCCATCTCATCTCCCTTGTGGCCGCTGTCCTGCCCCCTTGCTGCTGGTCCCATGGTGCTGCTGGTGTGACGCCTTCTGCTTGTGCCTTGCAGGGAGTTCGAGGACACAGAAACGGCCAGCTTCCATCTGGACATGTGGTGAGCCCAGAGTCCTGCTCCCGGCACGGGGCTGGGAGGGTCACTGGGGTGGTCCTGGGATCTGCACCCTTTGCAAAGCCCCAAAAACTGCTGGGGCCCCGTTTCCACCTTGTTTTCAGCTGCAAGCAGTCACTGACAGCTCTGTGCAGAGCAGGGAGCCCAGGCTGGCTTTGCACAGCCCGGACTCATTTTTGCCCAAGGCAAAAAGCAGCTGAGGACCGAGCCTTGATTTAATTTATGGCAACCAGCCACGTGCTTGTGGATCTGGGGCAGACAGCTGCTTTTTGGGGGTGTCCTCAGCCCCCAACACCCTCACCCCCACCTCCACCGTCACTGCGGTGCCCTGAAACGTGCTGCACTCGTTTGATTTCCCCCCTTTGCCCTCACCGTGGGCTTTGCCACCCCCAGGGACTCGGACATGGTGGAGTCGGTGCGGCACAAGCTGGGCGAGCTGACGGACCTCCACGGCCTCAAGCGGTGGGTGCTGCCCCCCCGGCACTGCCGTGTGGGGCTGTCGGTGGCTCCTCTGCCTCCTGGGTTCAACAACTGCCCCTGGGGACAGAGAGGGAGGAAAGGAGGGAGGGCAGCAGCTCCCTGCTGGCCCCACGTTGCCCCGCTTTGCCCACACCACGGCTGGTGCTGGCCGTGGGAACCTCTCCACGCTCCTTGTACCTGCTTTTCAGGATCTTTAAGGATGCTCGGAAAGACAAAGGGCAGGACGACTTCTTGGGGAACGTGGTCCTGCGCCTGAAGGTGAGAGACGTCACCTGGATGCGGGTGAAGCCTGGGGAGGACTGGGCAGGACTGGGCAGGACCCCAGCCCCGTGGCAGCGTGGCAGGCTCCCAGAGCTGCAGGGCGATGCCACGTCCCCCAGCGGGTATAACCCAGTGGTTATATGGCTTTTTAAAAGTCAGCTGCTCTAGATGTGCACTGCAGCACCTTCCTGCCCCGTTACTGCCGTGGGAACACTCCCTCAGCCCTTGCCTCTGTGCACGCAGGACCTGCACTGCTGGGACGATCAGTGGTACCAGCTGGAGCCACGGACAGAAACGTATCCCAACCGGGGCCAGTGTCACCTGCAGTTCCTGCTGACCCACAAGAGGGTAGGAGGCAGGGAGTAGGGGGTCCCCTTCCATCTCCTGGCAGGACGGGGCATCCCCAGCTGCCCGTCCCCTGGGCTCCATCTCCGTGCCCCAGGACCAGGGGTGCCGGCAGGCTTTGGAAACCCATCTCAGCCCTCCCCTGGGCTCTGTGCGTTCCTGCACCCCTGGGCTGGGTTCTCTGGCTCCATGCATTTTGGGTTCTTGCTTTCCCCCATCCAACCACCTCCCTGCACATTTGGGCAGCTGCAGGTTGCTGCCCCCCCGGCTGGCATGCGTTGTCCCTTTCCAGAGGGCCACCACGAGCAGCAGGACGCAGCCCAGCTACACCGTCCACCGGCACCTCCTGCAGCAGCTGGTGTCCTACGAGATCCTGCAGCACCAGGTGCCGTGGGGAAGCAGCAGGGACGGGGTGGGGACTTCCTTTGGTGCCCATCACGTTGCCAAAGGCTCTGCTCCGTGATGGGGAGGGGGCAGGAGGTGCCTGGTGCCTGTGGCCCCGTGAACACACGCGGCCCTGGTGCCTGTCCCTGTCCCCGCTCAGCCCAGCCCGCTGCAGGGCACCTCACCCGCTGTGCTCCCCACAGGCCGGCAGCATTGCCTGGGACGGGGAGCTGAGCCGGCACGCCAGCACCGTGCTGTACCTGCACGCCACGCAGAAAGACCTCTCTGACTTCCACCAGGTCATGGCGTGAGTACCCCCTCCTCGAGCTGGGAGAAGCCCTCGGCTTCCCCATTCTGGCCGTAGCCTTGGGGAGCCCTGCACCGTTCCCTTGGGGCTCAGCCGGGCCTCTCCCTCCTTCCCCAGGCAGTGGCTGGCGTACAGCAAGCTCTACCAGAGCCTGGAGTTCAACAGCAACTGCCTGCTCCACCAGATCACCAGCATCGAGTACCAGTGGGTGCAGGAGCGCCTGAGGCCAGAGCAGGTGGGACACGGAGGAGATGTGCCCCGAGCACCCACCCCGAGCCTCCTCTCGCAGCTCCCGGCCACGATTCCCTCCTCGTGCTGCAGCAAGGGCTGGGGCTTGTAGGGTGCAGGGGTGCCCTGAGACCTCAGGGATGGGCTGCGGGGCTTTCCTGGTGGGCAGCCAGCCACAGGGACCAGGAAAAATCCCCCTTCCCTTGGGGGATTTGTTCCCCATCTCTGCAGAGGAGCCCTCGCCCTTTTGCACTGACCTCGCCCTCCTCCATCGCTGTGATCACATCAGTCCCGACACCAGCAAAAAATGGGATCTGACCCAGTTCCCACTGGCTTCTCCCAGCCTTTTTTTCCAGGGCATCCCAGCACCCTGCTGAGACTTTTAATTATTCATGCGTAGCGATGTGGTTTAATTGCAAATAAGTTAAGCTCATGTGGTTAAGCTCAGCTCAGCCCCTCCAGGAAGAAGTTCCTGGGCACACGAGGAGGTTTCTCCACCCCTGAAGAAGATCAGGAGCCACAGACCCCCCCCTGCCAAACGGCACCGTGGTGCCACCACCAAGGACAACAGCGCGTCCCCTTCCTTCTCCCCAGAAAGCAGAGCTGGCCGAGTCCTTCCAGTCCTTGCTGACCTACGGGGTGTCCCTCATCCGGAGGTACCGCATCATCTTCCCCCTCTCTGTCGCGAGGTCCACGGAGAGGCTGCAGTCCCTGCTGCGGTGAGTGCAGCGCGCGGGGTCGTAGTGCTTGGCCACCAGCATGGACAAGGCTGGAAGCTGGAGGAGAAGCCCATGAGAGCCCTTTTTGCCCCCCCTCCACCCCGCCTTTCCAGGCTGCTGGACACCTAACTGCTGTGACACTTCTCCTGTCTGGCCCCTCGCCCAGGGCTGCCCGTGGGGGATGTTGTTGGGAGGAGAAGGTCTGTTTGGGTAGGGTCTCCTGGGGGAGAGGCGCTGGTTCGGAGGGGCCGGTGCTGGGTCTCACCGATGTTTCTTGGTTCACAGGGTCCTGGTCCAGATGTGCAAGATGAAAGCTTTCCGGGAGCTGTGCACGCTCAGCCCTGACCTCCCCAAAATGGTCTCCGAGGCGCTCAAGGTAGCGGCACCGAGGGGGTTCTCGCCCTCCCTAACCCCAGAGGGTACCCTGCAGCACCCCTTCCCGTCTCCAACCCCTGCCCAATGCCCACACCTCTCCTGCAAAGCCACCCGGACCATCCTGGGGGGAAAACCACCCACATTTCTTCTGCTCGGTGGCCCAAGCCTCTGGTTCCCACCACGAGGTCCTGCCCGGGGGAATGGGATAGCGGGGGGGATGGCAGAGCTGGCTCCATCCTTGGCTTCTCACACCAGGGCTCCTCTCTTGCAGTCAGGCACGACGGAGTGGTTTCACATGAAGAAGCAGCACCTCAAGCCCATGGTGAAGGTGAGTCCCCATCTCGGCCTCTCTGCCAAGGAAAGAAGCAATTTCCTGGGCAGGGGCGTGAGGGAGGCTGAGGGGTGGGATGATGAGACCTGAGAGGAGGCTTTTGCAGTTTTTTGAGCTGTTGAGGTATTGGGGTCTCCAGCAGGTGCTTGTTTCATGGTGTTTTAAGCTGGAGACCCAAATACTGCCAGCTTAAAGCCCCATGACCCATGTTACCTGCAGGCTCAAGGCCTCGGTGGGATGGGCAGGAGCAGGAGGTGGTCCCCTGCCCGGCCACGCAAGCACAGGGGGACAAAGGATGACAACTTGTTGGTGCTCCTGATGTGGTTGTAATGCTAGCCTGCTACTCCACGAGAGCAAATCATAGAAATAAATCAGTCCTGGATGTCATTTCAATATCGTTGAGCATCCAAAACAAGCTGTTCCCTCTGTCGCAGAGCATGGAGGAGAACGGCAAAGCCTTGGCCAAACTGCTCCTGGAGGTGATAGCAGATCTCCAGCAGTGCCAGAAAACCTGGAATAAGTTCTTCATCAGGTAGGCCTGCTTCGTTCCTTGGTCTTCGGGCTCCACAACACCTATGAAAGGAGAAACCCAGAGGCCCCATCTCTTCCTCGTGGAGCTCTCCTCTCCAAGGGCACAGGCTGGGAACCTTTGCTGGGCTGGGTTTGCTGGGCTGCGGCTGGCAGGTTCCTGACTCCCTGTTTCTCTCTCGCAGCACCCTGAAGCTGAATCTCTTCTCCATCGCCTACGTGGAGCTGGAGAGCCTGGTGAGCGAGCCCGGGCTGCCTTGCACTCCTGGGACTGAGGGCTGAACCAGGCTGAGATTTTGAGCCACCCTCACCCCGTGCCTCCAGAAAGCCCGTACCAGAGCCAGCCCTCCTGGCTGCCCCCCAAAAACACCTCTGCCCCACAGCCGCCCCTTCTTCCCTTTATCTCTGCCAGGTTGCAGAGCATGTCCAGGAGCAGCTGCACGAGGTGGACAGCAGCATGTCCAAGCCCACGGCCGAGAGCCTCTTCCAGCTCTACCTGAACCTGCAGGAGCTCTATCGGATGAAGGACTTCCTCCCAGAGAGGTACCGAACCCAAAAGGGGAGATGCTGGGGGGGTGGGGAGGATGGAGCAGTAAATCCAGAAGACTGCCAAACCCTTCCCTCTCACCTCCACTGCTAATTCCGCCCTGGCAGACCAGGCTGTTGGTGGCTGGTGTCGATGTGAGCATCACCAGGAGGGTTTCAGGCCCATTTCTGGGTGGGATTGATGGGGACCTCACCTCCAAGCGGAGGTTTTTCCTTAGCATTTCCTGGGGCACAGTTTTTTGTGTGTGAGGTGGTAGCCCCGTGCTATCACAGCGCACTGGGAGAAGCTGGTGCCTTCATCCACAGGGATGGACCTTTGGCCCTGAGTGATTTCCACCAGTGGTTCAAGGAAGCCGTGCCCCAGTGGCTGCAGAAAGCCTACACCATCGCGCTGGAGAGGGCGCAGAGAGCCGTGCAGATGGACCAGGTAACCCGGAGGGGGGAGAACAACTCCCTGCAGCCCCCAGGGACTCACCAAATCCCTCACACAATCCCACCGAGGTCTTTTCCCCAGGGCTACTTACCCCTCCTCAGTCCTCACCCCTCAGATGGGGTGTAGGAAGGAGCTGATGAGGAGCCAGAGAGCCCTAAAATTTAGGAGCAGCTTTCCTGTCTGGGACGGCTCCTTCCCATACAAGCTAAGTTGTGTTTGCTGTCTCTGCCCCGCCAGCTGACGCCCTTTGGGGAGCACAACAAGCACAGCACCTCCACCGTCGACCTGTCCACCTGCTATGCCCAGATCGTGAAGACCTGGCAGCAGCTCAACTGGCCGGACCCCGAGGAAGCCTTCATGATCATGGTGAAGCTCGTGGAGGTTCGTACACCCGGGCCTGGATGGCAGGAGCCGACCCGACAGGCACCAGCAGCAGTTTTCTCTTCCGCTCTTGGAGCTGGGTGCTGATGGATAGGGCCAGTGTCCCATGCCGGCGTGGTGAGGGACCCCAGCCCCGTGGTGCTCTCCCATTTTGGTCTCGTTTGCTCCTTCTCCACCCTGCAGGACATGTGCAAAATCGCCCTGATGTACTGCCGGCTCATCAAGACCAGGGCTGAGGCTCTGTCGCTGAGCGAGCAGAACGAGGGTGAAGCGGCCAACAGGGTTGGTATCGGGGCAGGACCCACAGCTCGGGAGGGGGTGGCAGCCCCAACATCCTGGGGCTGGGTTTTATGGGGATCTGCTGGCCCCCATAGCTCTAATCTTGGAAAATTGGGAGGGAAATGGTGTGGGCGGGGGAAACAGGATGGGGATGGGATGGGATGGGATGGGATGGGATGGGATGGGATGGGATGGGATGGGATGGGATGGGATGGGATGGGATGGGATGGGATGGGATAGAGGGGATGGGATGGGATGGAGGGGATGGGGTAGGGTGGAGTAAGGTGAGAATGGGGATGAGGGTGAATGAGGGTGGAGTTGGGCAGTGGGGTGCCCTGAAGCAGACCCTCCTCCCCAGCTCTGCATCGTGGTGAACAACATCAAGCAGCTGCGGCTGCTCATCCTGAAGCTGCCATCGCAGCTGGACTGGGCCCAGCTGGAGCGGCGCACGGGGGCCGTCATCGACCCGCAGCAGATCCAGCACACCCTGCACCACCAGCTCGACAGCACCGTGTCCTGCCTGGACCGCGAGGTCCAGGACGTGGTACAAGCCCTGGCCACCAAGGTGACCGCCTGACCCCAGCGGGGAGGTTTAACCCGAGGGGATGGCGATAAGGTGTAAGGGGAGAAGGGGGAGGTGAAACATCCCGAGCAGGGAGGCTCGTGGAGGGATGTTGGTGTGGGATGGATGGGCAGGATGTGTGCTGGAAGATGCTGTGGGGCTTCTTGGGGGAAAAAAGCCCCAAATGTCCACGAGACCCAGAAAAGGGGATGCTGGTGCAAAGCCCCAGTGCCTCCGTGTGTTTCTCCCTGGCAGCTGGAAGCGGGCATCGCCAGACACATCCAGGAGCTCTCAGCCTCCAACGACACCCGGGAGCCTGAGGATGTAAGCGCCGGGCCCGTCCCCTCCTGCTGTGGGATGGAGCCCTCCAGACCCCCCCCTCTCCCAGCCGTACCCTGCTGGATGCGCCCCCCGCGCCCTCCCCAATGCCCCTCTCCTCTCACTGCAGTCCATCATCCCCCTCATGAAGTTCCTGGAGTCAGAGCTGCAGTATCTCAATGAGCATCTGGTCCAGGAGAACTTCAAAAGGTGACCGGGGCCGTGCCAGGGTGGGGGCCAGCAGCATTCCCCTGGCAGGAACATCCCCCACGGGGCTCGGGGTCACCCCGCTTTGGGGCTGGGGGCTCTGCCTAGTGGGGTGGGCCAGTTCCCTGCATCGGCTCTGGATATACCCCAGGTCCCCCTGCTCACAGTCCCTTTCCCTCGCCCCCGCAGCCTCCTTGCTCTCCTCTGGCATCACACCTTGGCCGTGCTGACTGCAGCTGCGGGGCCGCAGACATCCTCGACCCAGCGCTACAAGAAGCTGCAATGTGCCCTGAAGGTACCGGGGACATGAGGGGGAGTCCCCCTGGGTGTGTGCCTGGGGGCCAGCTAACAGCGTCCTCCCCCCCAGAGCCTGGAGCTGTGCTTCCACGCCGAGGGCTGCGGGCTGCCCCTGGAGACCCTGCACAGCGCAGCCTTCGTGGTATGGGTGCTGGGGAGTGGGGGAGTGGGATTTTCTTAGGGTGTGAGAGCCGGGGGGGGCAGCATCCCCAGGCTGCAGACGTGTCCTGGTGCCTGACCGCCCCCTTTCATCCTCCCCGCAGTCTCTGGAGAGTCACCTGGCCCTCTGCTCCAGCACCAGCCGCAAGCTGATCCAGAAATACTTCAGCAACAGGATCCAGGAGCAGGTGGGAATCAGGATGCGGCGCCCAGCCCCTTCCCCAGCCCCCCTCCTTGCTGATGGACACCACCAAAGCAGCATTTCCCCACCACGGGCTCCCCCAATCCTGGGGCTTTGGGAGTGGGTTTGCCCCGGCGCTGGGGTTTAGTGCATCCCAGAAGATGTCCCTCGACCCCCCGGTACCCCATAACACGTGCACGGCTCCTGATACAACGCTGCACCTTGCAGCTGGATGCCAGCTCGGAGAAGTACGGGGCCGTGACCATCAAGGCTCTGTACCGGCCCTCGGAGCAGAAACTGCGCGTGGAGGTGCTCAACGCCGTCAACCTCATCCCGCTGGACTCCAACGGTGAGCGTGTGGGCTGGGGCAACCCTCTGCCCCATCCGTGGGCCCCAATACGACCCAGGGCTCCGTCTTGGTTTGCTTTTGCACCCCATGAGGTGGATTGAGGAGGAAGGGGGTTATTTTGTGGGTCTGGGGGTGCTGGAAGCAGAAGCCAGCAGCCAGGGCTGGCAGCGTTTTTCCTCTATGTAAAGCACACCTCACACACACAAAAAAAATGTTTGGGGGGATACGGGACAGTCCCTTGGGTTGGCTGTCATTTGGGGAGGTCTCCAGAAGAGGTCACCCCTATTTTGAGCCTCCCAATGGCTCCTTCGTGCATGGCCCTCTAGGGGATGCTCCAGCTGCCTCCCAGGACCATGGGCTGGGCTGGCTGCTCTGGATGATGCCCTGAACCCCCCCCCAGCTACCCCAGCAGGAGGGGGCTGATGTCTGCACCCCACCAGGCTCCAGTGACCCCTTCGTCCAGCTCACCTTGGAGCCCCGGCACGAGTTCCCCGAGGTGGTGGCCCGGACCACCCAGTGCAAGAGGAACGAGCTGCACCCGCTCTTTGACGAAGCCTTCGACTTGTATGTAGGGTTTGGTGCCCAGCAGCCCCCACGTCCCCATCCCAGCAGCCCTGCCCCATGGAACTGGGTCCTGTGGTGGGATTTCACCTCCTGTCCCCCTTGGAGGGCTCCCACAGGGAGGGTGAGCGCAGTGGGGAGGGTCAGCTTCCCACCAAGCATCGCCCCGCAGAATCCCATTCAGTGTCTTAAAAGGGAATTTTGGGACCAAGGGGATGGGGGGAGACGGCCCCACATGTCCCACCACCTCCCCCCAGCTTGATCCCCCCTGAGAAATGCCGTCAGGAGGGGGCCTGCCTGCTGCTGACCGTCTTCGACTACGACACGTTGGGGGCCAACGACCTGGAGGGAGAAGCTTTCTTCTCGCTCCGCCACGTGCCCGGGCTGGACGCCGACGAGGACCAGGCGGACATGGGATGGGTGCCCCAAACCCGCCTCTCGCTCACCCACCCCAAACCCAGCGGTACGGGGCACCACAGCCCGTCCCGGCCCCGCTGAGCCCCCGCAGGCCTCCCCTCATGTCTGTCCCCTCCTGTGCCTCAGGGGACGAGATCCTCCGGCTGCTGGAGTCCAGGAAGGGGGACAAGGAGGCCCAGGCCTTCGTCAAGCTCCGCAAGCAACGAGCCAAGCAGTCCAAGGAGACGGCGTGAGGGAGGCAGAGATCCCAAAATGAGGGGGTCCAGAAGGAGACCTCAGGAGTTTTGACAGTGCTGGAGCCACCCAAGGGAGCTGTGGGGACCACAGCGGGGTCCCTGAGCCGCCACCAGCTCCCAGCACCTGCCTCACCCCGAGCAGTGCCCCCCATGGGGCTCAGGAGGGTGGGCACACAGTGTTTTGTTTTTTTTTTTGGGGGGGGGCCTCCTTTGCAGATTAGCAACACTACACGGGGCTGTGGAAGTGTGTGGCTGTCCCTGCCGTCCCCCTCAGCTTGTCACCACCGGCCGTGTCCCCGGCCCCCTGCAAAACCACGTCAGGGCAGCGGGGTTTGTTTGGGGTGGGGTGACCCATGGCCAAGCCTGCCCTTTTTTTTATTATTATTCTTTATTTTTTATTTTTTCCTCATGGATAAGCCTTTTAAATTAAAAGCAACAAAGCCGGTGTGTTGGCTGAGTGTTTGGGGTGCTGGGAGGGGGGGACATAACCACAGGCAGTGAGACAAGGCCGAATGGAGGGGGCAATAACAGCAGCACTGCCAGGGCCGGCCCTGAGGGAGGCTTCCCCTTTGCCGTGCTGGCAGGGAACCAGGCAAAGCACTGGGTTACGGGGCCGTTACACTGCTCGGGGTTTACACCCAGGTGTAAATCCACCTGCTCGCAAGGCTCTCACTGCCCAGCAGTGCTTGCAGCTCAGCTCTGCGTGGCGGCCCAAGGCCTGACCAGACACACGTAAAGCCCAGGTCTGGCTTCCTTGTGGCAAAAGGCTTTTAGGATGGCAGTGCGTGGTGGGTGGACGAGGAAATGAGGCCCCCCCCCCCCCCAGCAGATGTGTGTGTCCTTGGGGGCTGCAGAGGCTGAGCTGGGCCGGGCAGGGGCACGGGGTGCAGCAGCAGCACAGCACCGCCTGCTCCACGGCTGCCACAGCCCTGTGCAGCCAGCCAGGCATAATTTATTTTATTTTATTTTATTTTATTTTATTTTATTTTATTTTATTTTTTATTTTATTTTATTTTTTATTTATTATTTTATTTTATTTTATTATTTATTTTATTTTTACTTCGTATATTTTTAAAAATATGTGTGGTTCTTTTGCGTGGGTTTATATTTTACCTCCAACCATACCAACCTCGCGGTGCTTCCTGGAGCTGAAGGAACCTGGGCAGCAAGAAAGGGCACCAGAGCCCCAGGAGCCAAATTAAGCAGCAATTTGGGCTGCCAAAACACTAAAAACAGAGGCCAGGAGTCAGGCACTGCCCTTGCCAGGCACCTGCACCCTTCTGGCTCCAGCACACGAGAGGCAGAGGTGGCAGCTCCATGTGGGGTGCCCAGGTGTAGCAGCTACAATTCCCAGCTGATTGCTATTTATTTTTTTTTAAGCTTGTTTTAGCTGCAATTATACTATTTACAAACCTGGAGCTCCCACCATGTGGCCTCTCCATGCATCCCCTGCCCAGCAAGGGGGTGGCCGAGCTCCAGCCCCAAGGGTCCCCAGGGAGCATCACCCTCGGCTGCTGCCTCCACGGGCTGCACAGGCGATTGAGGTCAATCTCGATGGGAGTGGAAAAAAAAAAAAAAGCTCCCTTGGTATGGACGTGACATGGCAAGGCTCAGCCAAGCCTGCAGCAGCAGGGATTAAGACGCTGCTCGCTCACGAGGAAGCCGTTTGGTTGCTTTATTCTCGGCTCGGTCCCCACTTTGGGCTTTTGCAGCTCTGCAGAGAGGTGAGATGTGGGAGAAGAGCAGCGAGGCTGGGCGGGAGCAGGATGCAGAGGAGAGGGGTGGCTGCTTGTGCAGGAGGTGCCGTTCCCCGCTCTCATTTCTGCTCGGGGACAGAGGAAAACCCACGCCTGTGCTTTGCAGCCCATTTGGCGGTGGCACCTGCTAGCAGCCAGCCTCACGCACTAAAGCAAGGACTGAGCTCCGTGAGGCTGCAGCTTTGAGCCTGGTTTACCTTGTTTTGTACCTATTTAAATTTATTTTTTTTTACAGACATGTTGTGCTGGGCTTGACCCGGGCTGCCCTGTTGCTGTGACAGCGATGTGCCCAGTGAGGGGGTGGCAGGGGCTACCCTGTGGTTCCAGCATTTTTTTGCTAATACCCAAAGTGGTTTTAGCTTCATTTTTGCAAGCAATGGTGTCATGTACAGAGAAGGACCAGTAAACCTTAGGCAGTCAGTCTTTAAATAAAAGCTCGTTTTTGGAAGCTCGTGGAAGGTACATTCGTTTGGTTGCCAATACCCAAAATTCCATTTGCAGCCCAGGCGCACAGAGCTCACCTCTGCCTGGCCTGGCTCCCGCAGGAAGCATTCAGAGCCAATTTCTTGTCCAGGCCATGAATTTGGATGACAAAATGCTCCTGGATCTGTGGATCCACCATTCCCCGAGGAGTCTCTGCCCCACTTAACCAAGTGCACCTTTCCCACAAAGTGCACCACGCCCCCAAAAAAGGGGCTTGAGCCAGAAGGGAGCAGGGCAAGAAATTGTTCTCGGTAGCATACAAGGGAGCAGGACAAACTGGCCACGGAGATATCCTGTATTTGTTGTTCTGAGGGCTCCCCAGCTTTCTCCACTCCTTCCCCAGCCCCAAAGACGGGGACGGGCTGCACACACACGCGGGCACGCATGCGCGCACACACACCCACACACGGCTTTATTGGTTTTTTTTTTCTTTTTCTTAGCAAAAAAATAAAAATTTATTGTCCTCTAAAAAAAAAAAAAAATCCATCCTGCCCTTGGAAACTGTGACACAGATTGAGTTCTTTTCAGCCCCACATGCAAATTCATTCTGCCAAGAAAAGAGTCTAAACCAGGTTTCCGACAGCCAAAACACATATTTACAGAGTACGAGAGAACGACAGCTGAAATCACAGTTCTATACATGGAATCAACAACACGTTTTACACACCACCGATCACCATTCTGCCAACTTCTACACGGACTTGGGGCGCTTCTGCCCAGTGCCCTTCCTCCCGGGGAAAGCGAGGAAGAGACTGGGCAAGAATTGCCACGAGAAATACTGCAGTGTGTATTATTATTATTTTTTTTAAACTCATACTGTACTTATTTTGTTTTAACATTGGAAGCTACGGAGTGGGGAAGCCCCAGAAATCTCTCCGACGCAGTCACTAGTTTGCAGGAATACTTCACCTTTAAAATACTAGGTTTTACATCAGTAACATCTACATTGCTGTTGGCCATCACTCCAGGGATTATTATAAATCCGGAGGAAAACACTGGTAATATTTTTCCTTCTTAGATGGGGGGGAAAGGGGAGAGAGAGGATTCGGAGGCTGGTGGAACAGCAATGAATTACTGAGTCCATTCAGCATTAAAGGCTTCCTCACACGGTAAGGAATTCTCTTCATTGTCTCAGCTGCACAAGCCTTGCAAGTGGCTCAGGTTCAGCTTCAGAGATGTATGGAAAGTATAAAACCCTTCGGTATGGGAACAGCTGCAGTGGCTGCCTTCTGGGGAAGGCGAATTAAGGGGAAGGAGCTCCAGCTCTGAGACCTGCCCCAGGCCCCCCGGTGCCAGCGGCACCAGGCTACGGCATCGAAGGCTGGGTGGGACCTGCAAGCGGTCCTGGTAGCCCAAAGTGATGCTCACCAATGTTCTTCAGCTCTTGGCTATCCTCTACAGCTAGCTCCTTGCTTTTGACAGCTACCTACCCAGGATATTGTTGTCTCAAGCCATCTGCTTCTATATTGTTTCTCTATAATAAAGTAAAAGTGTATTGACCTTTAGGATACTGCGGTTTCACAAGCCAGTTAAAGACTCCCTTTCCCCAGCTCTCAGCCGAGAAGTGTCCAACCTGCACAGTTCGTCACCGAGGTCAATTGTGAGGCTCCCAAAAACTTGGGGAGAAAAACATCATTGCCCAGCGAGGAGCCTGTGACAGGGCAGGACGCGGCCGCGCTCAGGGCTGCTCGGGGGCAGCCAGCTGGGGGGGGGGCTCAGCGAGAAGCCTCGGGGACCACTTGGGGACCACCACTTCGCTTCGAAGCGTGACAGCCAAAAAAAATACAAAGTCACCTTGGTTCTGATGTGTTACTGCGTGTCCTGTAACTGGGAGTTCCTGCTTCAGAAAGAAGCTCGACAGTGCGTTACACGGGCTGTACATATTAGCACCAGGTTTATTTTTTTTACAAGTCTCTTTTTTACACCGCGCAGAAGCTGACCACAGACTCTTGAAGCCTTGAAGGCAGTGCTGCGATTGTGGTTAATCCTGCCTGCCTGGGGCCGGCGATAACAACTGCTGGGGTGGGTGAGAAACGCTGCCTTCCCCCCCCCCGCTCTCACCTCGCTCAGGTATGAAACGTTGGCCCCCCCAAAATAGTCACAAAATACACAGCGATGAAGTTCTCTTTCCCAGCTGCTGCCTAAGAAAATAATTCACATTTCAGATACTTCTTGATTTGGAAAGCAGCAAACAAATTGATAGAAACCTAAATTGAAGAGGTGTTTCTTGAAGCACCAGAGGAAAGAGAAGCAGCCTACGTGCTTGTGCTAAGGGTGCTGAGACAGGCTGGGGCGGTGGCGAGGGAAGGGGACGCGAGGTCCCGGGGCTAGTGCTAACTCCTTGTCACTGCTCTGCCACCAGCACAGCGTGGCAACAGAAAGTTAAAATTTAAGGGCCACAACTAGGGAAATTTTGAATTCTTTGGTCCTTCAGGATAAGTTTTAAAACAGAGTAACTGTTTTACTGAAAAGGAAAAAAAAATAAAAATGCTTTCTCTGGTCTGGAATGGTTCTCGTAGCCCTCTGGGTCCCCCCAGAAATGAGGGGCAAGTGTCTCGTCCCCCTGGACCCTACAGACGTGCATCACGCTGTGACTGGCAGTCACACTGCGACAGAGCTGCAAACAGAGGACAAGCTTCATCTGAAGAGAGGGGAGAATGCGAAGAGCCCTTGGGACTCAGCTCAAGTCACACAGGTGGTGCTAGTTCTGGAAGGAGAGGGCTGTCCCAAGACAGCATCACCCTGAAGAGGTCCCCAGGAGGCAGGAGAGCAGAGAAACCACCACGCTAACAAAAAGTAAGCGTTACAAACCAAGAGCCAAAACAGGCTGGTGAGCTCTGGCTCTTATAAATATTAAAGACCTGATTCAAGAGTTTATTTCCTATGATTTAAGTTAGTTACAAAAACTTCAGTTTGTTTTTTTTTTTTTCTTTTATCTTCATTGGGCTTTTTCTTTCTCCCGCAACTTTTATCCCTCCCTCCCCCCGCTTTTTTTCCCCTAAAAAAAGAAATGTTCACATATTTTAATAAAAGGTCTTTCCTTAAGATCAGACCAAGGCAGATGTGCTGCCCCATGGCACAGACATTCAAAGGCTATAACCAAACAACATAGCCACAATATTCACCCAACAGTGTCTCTCCATTAAAAAAAAATTAAAAAACTGATGCTAGTTACAATAAAATACACATGGAAAAAAAAAAGCATTTTTACCAAAAAAAAAAAAAAAAGAACGAGTTAATGGGAAAACATAAAAAAAAGAACTACACAGAGCTGCACTTAAGAGATCATCTGGGAATGCATATTAACCCCTTCCATATGAAGGAAAGGTGGAATTATGGAAGCAAACCTAATTATGTCTTTGCATTAAAATATGAAGCTTTCTGAGAGGCTCCAGTAACAATTCAGTTGTTCCTACAACAACAGTGGGCTGCTGGAGGTTCCAGTGCTTTTCCAGGTCAGGGAGGGGTAGCACAGGACACATCCCTGTGCGAAATAAAAATATTTAATCAACTGAGTGGCCTTCTAGTTGAGATCCCAGCAGGTTACTGCAATCCACCCGATGTAAAAATTTAATGTACATGCTGGTAAAGAAAGTCACAGGAAGCTCAGCTGCTGGACAGGTCTAAGCTGGTGGCGTTTCTTTTCCCTAGAAAGGAGCTGCACTGGACAGTGTGCTGTGTATCGGACTGGTCTGTGGGATTTCTTTGCTTTTCTAAAATGATCCAAGAGAATAAATTCACTGTGGACAGATACAAAGAGAATCCTAGGAAGGAGAAAGTCCCTGAGCTCCTCTGCAGATGGTGTATGGGGCCAAAGGGCCGAAAACAAACTCAGCAGGGCTGAGATGCCAGTGAGAGCTGTGCAAGGGTGGTGGAAAGTCATGTGCTCAGGAAAGGAGTCTGAAATAGGAGGAAGGAGAGGACTGGAAAACCCCGCAACAACACCTTGCTTGCGTTGAGGAAAAGGGAGTGCATTCCTCTGATGGGAGATGCTTCTTTCTGCTCCCACACCATGAGTTTAGCATCCCTGCCAGCACCCAGCACTGGAGGTGGGCACCCAGCCGCATGCAGCAGGCTACCACATTACTACTAAGTCACCAGTACACAGACAGACTGGTTGATGAGTTATTCTAAGGAAATATCTGAAATTGAAGTCTTTTTCCTTCCTATCTCCTTGCTCTGTAAGATGATAACTAACACAGGAACCACCGCCACAGGGCACTGTTAGACTAACTAGCTTCAGAGTTTCTAAACAGTGACGCTTCCTTACGTACATAAGAATGGTGGCTGCATTTATAAGCTTCAGTGGTGAAACGTGTCCTGTTTTGTGCCACGGTGATGAGCTGCTGAGGGCAGGAAGAAGCATCTCCACCTAGGAGCAGAAGGCGAGGAATTTACACTCTCCTCCAGCTCCACTTTCAAGCAGTAATAGATCTATCAGCGGTTTGTTCCATGCTGGGCTTTCTCTGTCACCACTGGCAGACGTGATTCCTGGCTTGATGGCTTCTGAACTTAGAAGCCCACAATTCATCCTCGAGGTGCTGAAACAGGCAACACCCACTCTGTTCAAAAAGAAGTGTCCTTAAACTATCTGGAATTGTTTCATGCGTTTCAGCAGTGACTATGAAAGAGGTCTCTGTGGCTAAAAGGAAAATCAATCTGGTTTGAAACGCTAAAAATCCTCTAGACAGCCCCCACACAAAGGGGTGCCTGGAGAGAACTAACTTGTGCATCCATACTCCTTTCATGAAGGGCTTTAGCTGGCACAAGGGCAATACTTCTAAGGCTGCTGAAACCTGCAGCATTAGCTGTATCAGCAATGATTACTGGTCACTGAATTTGGGGGCCTGGCTTGCTCTAGGTACAATATATTTTTTCCCCTTTTTTTTTTTTCTTTTCATATAAATATACAAAGAGTGTAAAAAATTTTTAAAAAGCGAACTTTGCTGTTTTAAATGACAGACAAAGTTTCTGCACATTCAGAGATCGGCAATGTGAGGCCCACCAGGCAGGGACCCAGCGGAGCTTCCATCAGGGAGGACGGCTTTAACCAAGCTGGGTCAGTGAAAGAGCAGGAAGACCGAAGACATGAAAAAAGTCATTTCAATCCACCTCGATCCTCCCCATGATCTCAACTCTTCCTCTGGAAAGCACGTGGAAGCCCCTCTTGCCCACTCTAAATCCTTCTGGAAATAGTCAAAAATTTGTTATCACCTAAATAGAAAAGAGGAGAAACACAGACTCTTTGCAAATGGCCCTTTGATCTGTATTAAAAACAGCTCTCAAAGTTCCTCAAGAGTTAGAATTAGTGGGGCACGGGTGAGGGGCAGTTTAGATACGGGTTGTAAAATATTAAAAAGTGCTCTGCAACTAATTTTTGTTTTATGTGGGTATGTGCGTGTGTGTGCATATATATACATACACAAACATGCACATACACACACATATATACATATATATATCTACACATACATATATATATGTACACATACATATATATGTACGTATGTATAAAGTTAAAAAGTTCTATACGATATGATTAGAACAAGCGTCCTTGGAAGGTCACGACTGGAGAGAATGGGGCCTGTTGGGATGGCAGATGGGACACTCGCCCTCCTCGGCGCACGTTTCACACAGCACTGCGTGTTGGCACGGTAACACCACCCGGTTCTCTTCCTGACACTTAAGGCATTTCACTGACTGCATCTGAAATACTGCCTGCAAGAGATGGGGACAGGGCAAAACGTAAGCATCAAAACGAGGAAACAGAAGGGCTCCAGCCCCGTGCTACACAGTTTGGGGACCAGCAAGGAGGCAGCAGAGGACAGACTTGCAGCTGTCCATCCATTTATCTTCTGAAGCAAAAGCAAAGCAGCACAGCGTGGTGTCCTTTAGGACCTTTAGGATCACAGCAGCTTTGATCGACTGAAACTCTGTACTTTAGGTACAGGGAAGAGGCAGATGTTTTCCTTTAAGGTGGCTAGAACTCACTTTGGCTACCTCCACATAGAATTGCTTTGTTAGGCTGCTGATTTCTGACTGTATTAACAAAAAGAAAAAGAGCTGCTATCTGTAGGAGCGGAGGCAGCAAGGCCCTGCTCTGCAAATCCCTGGCACTCACCTTATCGACTTTCTCCAGGTTTGCCCGCAACTGTTTCTGGAGGGTGTAAAGTGAAGAGAGCGAGAGAGCTTCCAGGTCAGAGAAGGAGCGCAGAAACTGAGGGTCCTGGCCCGTGTGGATCCTCTCCAGCTCCTCCTGCAGTTTCTTCACTTGCAGCTCCAAGGCTTCCCTCTGCTCCCGAGCCAGTTCACATTCCATGTTAGCTGTGTTGGCGCGATCATTTGCTTCCTCTGCCTCCTTTTTCCAAGCATCACAAGCCTACGAATTCCAACAAAGAGAGTAACAGCAGTTTGAAAACTCTGTCAGCATCCAGGAGAGAATCCTAGGCAAAAATACTCATTTTTTCTACATGCTCCTCACCAGGAGTGTATTCTGTCTAATCTGCCCTGTTCCCAAATTCCCAAACATCCTTGGAACTCCACTTCAAAGTGCTGCTCATTCTGGGTACCCCATCCAGTTGGGCTGCAGGCTACAGATTTGGTTTAGGCAGCTAAGGGGATGAAATTTGCATAACATTAAATTGTCACGGATCTAAGTCAATCGCCACTCTAAGAGACTGCCAAGCACTTCAGTGCATCTGTTATGACACCTGGCCTTGCACTTGCAGCATCTGAACACATAAAACAAATCGCTTCAGTCTCTCCGAAGGGGGGAGAAAGAATAAGAACACTTAAGAGAATCTGCTGGTCAAACCTGCAGCTTTCCTCATCACCTCAGCCTCTGGTAAGCTCCTGTTTAAAGGCTGACACCCCTCCTACTCCCTTACCCTCCTTAATCTCGCTTCTCAGGAGTTGCCCAAGTACCTGCTTGGCTTGTTTCCAAGACTCTTCCCACTGCTTTATTGTGCCGTTGGCTTCATCCAGTTCTTGTCGTAGTCGTGCCAGCTCCGCAGCACCTGGACCTGACAGAAATGCAGGTGAGGTACTGGGCGAAAAACTCCCCGAAGCAAAGTGTTCCCATATGCTGCTGTTCATCCCATTTAAACCTGTTTCACAGGGAAATAGAGAGGGTTATGTCACAGGTGCTGGCAATTCCCCCATTTCCTCCCTACCCCTGTGAAGTCCAGGATTCAAAAATGCGTATATAGGAATGAGAAGATTTATTTCATCCCCAGGACCCATAGAGGGACTTTATAGGGGAAGTTTCACACCAGTAGGCCTCTTTTATAATATACAGAAAATCCAAGGAACAGACGAAGCAATTTTTGAACCAGGTGGTTTTTAGAAGCATCGACTTTACAGTCAAGTTGACTACCAGCTTGAATCCCCCTTCTCATAGAGAGCTGACTATACCCTAAGAAAATGTGTGTAGGGCCTTTACTTCTCTTTTTGTCTCCTCAGCTTGGAGCTTTTCTGAGTCTCACTTCCCAGACGGCCAGACTAAAACGCTCCAATGTCACTACTGTCCGTGTATGCAAGGATCAGAACTGGAAAGCCCTGTTTCTAAAGGAAGAAGTGGAAGCAGCAGTATGCACATCAGCTTCATCCCTTGCAGAGTTGTAGCATGCAATCAGTGACTGGCACCGTGGAAAGATCAACTAGCCACTTCCTTATTTTAGCACGTTCAAATCATTCCTCTCTTCAGGAAGAACTTCAAGGCTTGGGAGACAAAGCAACAGAAAATCAGCTGTAAACAAAGCTGGCTCTTTAGGCTGACGCCAGCCTCGGAGTCTTGGCTGCCTCTAAGGTTTGTACTCTTTTAATGACAAAAAATATGTTCACTCAAAATAAGAATCCACGGTTTGTACTCAGGGGAGAACTGGTAGGAAAAACTCATCTCCAGACGGAGCTGAGCGCTACGGCCTCATACGCACAGACACCCCCCAGCCTGACGGAGGAGTCGTTTTTATTTACTGGTGCTTACCACTGGGTGCGGACATTCCTAAATCTCGTTGCAACTGATAACTGTCATCTTCCAGAAGCCAAACTGACTGTGTTTGCAAGCAAGCCCTAGGGCCAACAGCCTCTCACTGAAAACTGACACAACTTACGTCCCCTTTAGTGCCAGCCAAGACACAAACAGCCTCGAGGGAGCAGCTGAAAACCAGTAACTTGTCTTGACTATGGACTTAGCTGCACAAACAAGTCATTTAGCAGAGCAGCGAGGGCTCTTCACTGGCTCAAGCCACTTACCATTGATCCATTTCAGCTGCTCAGAAGTGCACTCATTTGAGAGCAAGAAGTTTTAGTGCAACCCCAACTCACATTTTGCTTTTAAAACTCTGGCTGAGTTGAAAGGGAGGCTAGCACTACGCAGGATGCTGGCAAGCCACAAATTCTGCCATAACACTGCCCAAACTAATCTCATTGTTTCTTTTTACTCCCTCTTTCCACCTGCTGCTCTCACTACGTACCTAAAATATGAAGTCCCTGTAGTCACAAATGCCTTCTCTGTACACACAGCATCTAGCACAGTGGGAACCATCCCAGGACTACGTATTTTCAACTAAACAGCAATACCTACAAGCAATAACTACACATCAACTTGCATGCATTCAGTGAGTCACATGGAACAGATTCCAGAGCTCCAACTGCCAGGTTATAATTTTTAAAACCTTATCAAAACCTTGGCAAAAATGTTTTTGTTGCATTCCAAGAAAATATCTTATTTTTCTTGAAAACAAAATATTTGAATGCATTTGAAAAAATCCTGCATTTCTTTGGTTTTATATTTGTCCCGACTATGCCTATTTTACGCAAATAAACTGCTTAATAACTCATTTTTTCCTGAAATTAAAAGCAGACCTTATTAGCAAGTTTCCCTTTTCTTACTGAAACTGGAACGAACAGCCAGCCTCAACACTAATTAATAGCAGAGATGCCCTCTGATGTGTCTTTTCTTATTACTGTGATTGTAAAAGCTGTTAAAGCAAAATAGCAATCACAAGGCCTGGAAGCGTGGCTTTGGCCTGTGCAAACAAGGGATGCAGTTACACAGAGAAGTGCATGCAACAGTAGATTACAACATAATAAAATGGTTAAGTGTTTTGAAGCTGGATATTAGAGATTAAAGTGTATATAAAATCGAAGCATGGACTTCTACATCAATAAAAAGAACTATTATTTAAAAACAGAAATCAGCAGAGCAAGTGTCACTGTAGCCTTAAGCATAAACATTTCTCAAGGTAACCCAACATCTGGATAATTAAATGGATTTGTTCCCTCGGTTCCCAGTTCTGCCCAATACAGCTGAAGCTCCAAAGTAACCTCTGTTCCCTTCCCTTCACATTCTCTCATACAGGAAACGGATCCTCGAGAGAGGGGAAAGAAAAAGGAGCAAAGGGGACATAGCTGGACAAGTACAATGAACTAAGCTGGCTTTATAGCTCCCAAAAGCCAACCTATCCTAGGAGCAGTCCAGTCCCAACAGCAAACTGCAATCCCCACCTCAAACACAACTGAGGAACCAACTCTGAATTTTATATAAAAGTAAAGTCTCAGCACAGCAGTAGGGGTTTGAAAGGACAAAGCTCTTTTTCCCAAACGGCATCATCAGAGCAAGGCCCTTTTTCTCAGTCCGGAAACATGAGGAACAGAGGGAATTGCTCCTTTGCTCTCGAGTTATCAGGTGATTTTTGGTAAAGCAGCTTTAGTACTGTTGCTCTTCTCATGGGAAGAAGAGCTATAAATGGCAGCAGTGAAATAACACATTAAAATCAAAGCTAACTTAAAAGGAAATACTTACATGGCACAGACAGGCATGTACATGGGACACACACACTGTGCATTTACCTAATGATCCGTGAGAAGCTGATGTCCCCAGGAATGTGTTTTCTGATTGGCTTAAGTGTCCCTGGGGCTGATGGAGGAAATGCGATGAGAGGCTGACCGGTGGAGAAGGAGAGGCAGAGTGAAAGGAGGCAGAGCTTCCAAGGGAGCCGGGGATATTTACAGGAGCAGAACTCTGCAGCAAACTCCCACCTGGACAAAGAACACACAGAGAATGGCTATGTATGACTGCGAAGTATGGGCCAGGGCACAGCGCAGGAGTTCAGAGCAGAAGGCGTTAGCTTCCCTCTCTCCTAAGCCCCTGAGGATCCCCTCCACTTCTCACCGTGCTGGATTCCCCCTCTAAGCCTTAAGGAGGAGCACTGAAGCTGCTGTCCCACGAGCCACGTAGGTTAAGACCCTCCAGAGTTCAACGGCCTACTTCCTTTCATTGGCCAAAGCAACGAAAGGTTTTCTGAGCAAGCTTCAGGCCCTGTCAGTCTAGAGAAGATGAATTTGGTATCTGGTGAAATACTTTGTAACGGAAAATTCACTTTTACAGCACGTTCCTCTACCTTTAACGCTTCTAAACAACCTGTAATAAGAAGACTGTCACACTGGGCCAGGTCACGACCTGAACTACTGAAAATCGGTGACTAGCTTTAGACCTGTGTGAGTGCTTGGATCTACCAGTAATTAAAAATAATCAAACCTAACCTCCAAAGATACCACGCTTCCCTTACACAAGAGGTCAGTCTGCCTGCCACGCACAGACCAAGGAAGATCCCAGCCCTGCTCCTCACTTCTCTTCTGATCTTCCTTCTTAGAAGACCACCAGAAAACACCGAGACCCGACGGAAAAAGAGGGAAAAGTGTGGAGGATCTCCAAGCCCTGCAGATGGGTAGTGGCAGAAGCAGGGCTCCCAGCAGACATGCACAATAAGCTCTCTGACCGGACTCTTATTTTTGGCAGGGCAGTGGAAGTGATATTCTTTAGGGTTCCTTCCACACCTCTATACAGCTCCAGGCAGAGCAGCTCCCTTGGAAACCTTCAGACAATGGAAGTTAGCTCCAAATCACAACCTGTCTTACAGAACAAGGGTAACCAGAAACTACAGGCACTTCTAAAAAGCTAGGAGACGTTTCATTTTCCTCTGGACACTCCCTAGAGACAGGTAGAAGAGGCCTCAGCCTACCTCCAAGCCTTAAAGATGAGACAGACACTACAGGAATCAAACCAGCAGGCCGTGATGACTGACAGATGGATAGCATTACCAGGTCACTGAGTTTCCTGTTACTACTAAGGAGAGTTTTCTGCTCGAGATGCAAATTGTTACGCTTTGGCTTGGTTTTAAAGGTATCAAATACCTTCTAGAGTCTACTTACACACTTGGAAATAAATAAATAAATAAAATCAAGTCCCATTCAGTCTCAAGAAACATCCCCAGGACACCTGGGCCCAATGGCAAGAACTCAGCCCTGCTAGTCAATAAGGGCAAGCTTTCCCTTGAAAGATGCTCAGCGGTTGCCAGAGTTTGTTATAACGGCTGTTTTAACCAACGGTATTTTAGGACTGGTTTTAGAGCTTGGTTGGGCTGGCTCCACTGAGGTGACTGGGCAACACTGCTTGGCAGAAGATAAAGAAAGCTCTGTTGCTTTCATGTACCTATCATGATGCCACTCGTGTGGGGCACTGTGCTGCTGTCAAATGTCTTCTCCAGGGCAGCCACTCCGAATTCATTCAGGTCCAGGTCATCCAAGGCAGACTCTGCCAGACACAGAGGTACCAATTATGTTATAAAGGACCAACAACTTCAAGAGATAGGATGGCCCAAAGAGCCTACATGCAGAGGAGCCTTCGTTCTCTGTTTGCCAGTCTGCACTGCCCTACTCTCCATCCTGTGCAATGCTGCTGTAAAACAGTTTGGCAGAAGTGTCATGGGCAGCTTTTCAGTTCAGGTTCTTTTACCTGATCTGATTTCTTTGTCTCAAAGCATTCCCAAACGCTATATTAAAAAAAAAAAAAAAAAAAGTCTGATGAAATAACAGCAGTTCCCATAAGTCTTCCCCAAATAGCTCTTCCAAGTCTGTCCATAACACGCAGTAACGCTGGCTTATGACATGTCTGGGTCTGGCTTGTGCTTTGTCCCTACTTCGTTGAAGAGCCACTTGGAAAAGGAATACCAGCAGAAGGGAACACTTCAAAAACATCTCTGAGGTTCAACGATAAGACAAAATAAAGAAAGCTTATGAATGCCTGCAAATGTTATATCTACTTGAACATGCCTCGTCACTAACCTTGATCAATAATAGTTCCATCCCACATATGCCCACTCATTTCTATTACTGTTTTTAACAAATGAATGAGATCACCTCAGAAATGTTAGATCAAAAAACAGGTGACCAAAAAAGGTGTATCTAGCTAAAAGGAGTGATTCCCCGCTACGAACTCTCCCGTTCTCTTTTATCTTACAGCCTCTGTCCCACAACCTGTGAAGGGCAAGACCTTGCCAGCTACCTGGTGGCGGCCCTTCCTATAAAATTGTCATTTAGAATATGGGGTCGTAGCTGTGGGAAAACGTCTTGATGATTTCCTGCCTGCTCCAAATATTTTTTTTTTTGTCACTTTGACAAACCTAAAACTAAAGCCCTTTACACCACCTGACGTTCTGGATAAATGGCACAGAGGCCTTTGGCCTGCTGTTGGTCCTCTAGGTGAATTTCACCTCTAATAACCTGCAGAAAACATCAGATGCATCCTAGTCGCAGAAAAAGCCCACAGGCTCAGGAGTCTGCCCACACTGACACAGATGAAAAATTGGAGTTCACTGGAACACCCACGCTAATCCCAGTTCTCGTACCTGGTGATTCACGTCTGAGGAAGCCCTACTAATGTAAGTGAAAATGGCAAAGTTACCTATGACGGACTCAACGGTGTCACTGGTTGGGTAGAAAGGAAGGGCATTGGCATTCATGCCTGGTATGCTGCTGGTGCCAGCAGGGCTCGGTGGTGTTGCAGCCAGACTGGAGGTGATACTGGAGGAGATGCTGGATGTCAGCGGGCTCCCCACTGGGAGAATACCCAGTATGTCCTGAAACAAGAGTTTTGAAAAAGGAAAGAGGTACAAAATAAGATGTCTGTGTAGAAAAATCCCTTTGACAACATGCAGGAACGAGCCAATGATCAGCAACAAACCTGCTCCTGGCTGCTTCCAACCTGACAGATGGTTGGTGCTACTACTGGGCTGGGGGTGGGGGAGAGATTAACAGCTTTTCTTTAATTTCTGCTGACTTTTTTTTTTTTCCCTCCAGTATTACAAACAGCCTTCAGGCTGCCCTGAATTAACTCTTGTAACCCACAGGTTGCATGCAATCATAGGCACGGGTCACATAATCACTCATTCAGACTTAGTTCAGCACATGACTTAGAACCTGATATTAAATTCTCTTTGCTGAATCCTTGAACTGAGATGACTCCAAAGAACCATTCCAGCTCTATTTTCTGTAATTTGGAGACATTCTCTGACACTGCTGTGTCCAGGCCCATGAATTTGTCCTGAACTGACACAGGCCTAGCCATTCTCAAATAACCCCTCCAGCAAATAACCCCATCTTCATAAAATAATCCCTGGAGCTGAGCATCCCTCATGGTGTCTGGGCTATAATTTGCTCCCTGCAGAGTGGTCTGGATCTACAGAGATCTCGTGTCCTCATTTGTGGTAGCGTGAGCACTAAGCTAGGTTCAGAGCCTTGCCAGTAGTGCCATACCTGTTTGGGTTGTAACAAAGGTTGCTCCTGGCTCCTGTGTTCCAGTGAATGGGACTTCATTTTTGCTTGCTACAGTAAATAAACAAACAAACAAAAAGATAAGCAGGGGGATTAGCAGCAAAATTAAAAATGGCTGAGCACTGGCTTTGGAGAGGCCATGGGAAACAGTCCCCTCCTCTCTTACAGCCTTACATACTAGAATTCACAGCAGGAGAGCACAGCAAACTGAGAACACCCCAACTAATCTGCTTTCTATATATCAAGACATCACCCTCAGGGTTATGCACAGACTTGTCACCATTACACAGGCCTTCAGCGTTGCTACAGTCTCTGCTGGCACAAAGGACATCTTAAGAAACTAGACCAAACATGACTTATTTTGCCTTGCTATAAATAACTCATCAGCCCTACTAGTATCTAAAATAAATAAATAAATAAAAACAAGCAGTGAGAAATACACTATAATTTTAAATTATGTAACTGTTTTGCAGCTTTGGGAAAATAAAATATGCAGATGCTCACTTCCCTCAAACTTTTCAAGCTCCCAGATAGGTTTGCACAGTTTGTAGAAGAACGGAACAGATGTACTATTACAGAGAACATCATTTTATGGGGAAGGATCTGGATAATCTCATCAAATTCCTTTAATTTGTCATGAACAAAAATAAAGAGATAACTGGCCAGTTTTAAACGCAAAACCATCTAAAACTATTTTTAAAAAATCCCTCCCCCATCCCTTAAAACAGAGGCCTCAGAGCTATAAAACATGACTGAGGTCAATGCTGGCTGGAATTGCAAAATTGCATGAATGCCAACATATATTTAGATTTCCACTATCCAGCCTGAAAAAATCAGCGTAAGGACCTCGCAGCACCGTGTCCTTAACAGATTTCAGCCCTCTTGACATAGACATAGTCAATTCTGAGCTACAACAACCAGAGCAGGGAAGGAAGTGGTCTCATGATCCCTGTGCTCTGCTCCTCCCATGCTGCTACGTGTGCAATAGCAAGGCACGGGGGGATCAACTCGCACCCTTTGTGCATGGAAAGGGGGCTAAACAACTGCTTGGAGTCAGGTCTGCTTGTTTACCAACCTCCTCCAGCCCTCTCCATCTGAATCAGAGCTGTGGTCCGGGCATAAAGTCTGCTCACTCGTTTTTATCACGAGCGCAGGCAGCCACCATCCCTGCAGGGGCGTTTCAAGCACGATGCACAACAGCAGGGCACGAGACGCCACGCTGACCTGAGTGATACGCCGTGACTTTCTGGTTTAGACAGCCTCATGAAAAAGATAAATGATTGCTGGGAAGGTATGACATAACCAGACAGGCGAAAGAGAAGCAGAAGAATTCGTCCCTTGTTTTACAGGATTAAATCATTTTCTCTACTTGACTGTACGCCCGTGGCGGGGGGGGTAGTCAAAGCCTGGCAAACAGGCAGCTGAGATACGGCTGCAGAGATCCTTCTGCAGCAGGTACCGTTCTCTCATGCTTCTCTGAACAACCTACAGCGTGTTTACATACAGCAAAACTGCTCCTGAACCGCTCCCAGGCTTGTCTTCCTTTGTGTGCCCTGGATGCGCTACATTCGTGCATCTGTGTGTGTCTGATAACACGCCTGCTAGATTATCCAGCACATCCCTACCCTGCTTGACACTCAGCTGAACACAAGATGTGCTATCAACAGACGTCAGCAGCTGAAGTGAAGGCACAGATGCAGCTGTACCCCCCTCACTGGAGGCTTCCTGCCAGTGTGGCTGGCTCTGGTGCTGCTAAGTCTTACTGGAAGCTTTTTTATTTCCCTCCTTTAAATAAAAGAAAAAGTGAGCACATTTCTGAGTTTGTCCCAATTCTCACCGCCTTGCATTCATCAAGCAACATGAGTGTAAAAATGGAGCAAACCAGTTGTGACCACTGAGCCAGTCTCCTTTAGCTCTGACTAACATAAAAAAGGGCCGTCCATCAACACAGGAATTCAAAGGGCACGCTGAAATTCTCCAGCTCACGTTGTTGCAGTCAGGAAAGAAAAACAGAGGGCATAAATTATGAATGAAACTGAATGTTGTATGACCAGGACGGAACAAGCCTGCTGGACGCTGTGTCAGGACACAGAAACACCTCCTGGTCGTGGCACACAACTCCTCCCAGCACAGCCAGCATTTTCCAGCTTGCTAAATCTTTCGGGACTTCGGAAAAGTATTTTTAGCCCTAAGTGCTGGCTCAGCCTTACCACAAGCGATGTGGAATCTATTAACACATTTTTCATTCTAATAAGATAGAAGTTATTTGTACTAAGACGACCAAGGAAAAAATTACAACCCGACTGCAGGGCTGAGCCAGAGCGTCTCTTACATTTCCAAATATGAGTGAACAAAGTTAAGTGCCTAATGACTGGCCTAATTTACAGCATACACGAGGATCTCCGGTGCCCACTGCAGCCAAAGGGAATTACAGAAGATTAAGTAATTATAGATTGAAACAAAATTAAATCGGGACACTTATGAGACACCTAATTTTGTCTTTAGAAGCCCAGCATAAGGCAACTGTGATTACTTCTGTCTCTGTGTTAACAGGCATTTATTCCAGTCATTTAACACAGTTTTTTACTTAATTAAAGCCACATGAATAAGAAGCTACCTGAATACAGTATCTTTGTAGCACAGCCTGGACCTCAGACATAAAGGCTCATCGTCTGGCCCTCTTTTTAAAGGCTCCATTCAAGCTCCATCCTCTTTCTCCTTGGCTTAGGCTTGCTGCCCATTTTCTCCAAAGCTGGGCCTCCCTGGCACCCTGCCTCTGCTGGCAGGAAACAGGGGTTCTCTCGGTCCTTCAGCTTTGGGTTCACTCCTCCTTTGCAGCAGAGGCAACAGAACGAGCACATGTTTCTCCTTTTGTTTCTGCACAACTGCTACAAGCTGTTGTGCCCACAAGTAGTGCCAGGATCACAGCATGCTCTGCACTTTACCCCCAAGGATGCATTGCATCAATTTGCCATTTCCTAAGCCACATGGCACGTTAAGCCAAACAATGGAAGCATTTACAAGAAAGCCTACACGTATATAGCGTAATCTGTAAGTGTCACTAAATCATTTTAATTCGACTAAGCAGTCCTCGAGACTGGTCCTACTGCAAAGATTGATCATATTTTCCCAAAGTTGGAAAAATAAATACAAGAAAACCCACAGTCTGCTTCTAAATTCAACTACTTTCTGCAGGATCTTGTTTGGACAGGATATTTCCACTGTTTTCTCACAGCAGTGCAATACTAACACAGCAATAAGCTTATTAAGACTAACTTCTCAATATTACAGACAAGAGTTTAAGTGAAGCCAGGCTGAGAAAAGTATTGCTTCTTATCTCTGTTTTCGAGCAACATAGACTTTTTTTTTAAGTTAGTTTGTAGGAAACATTTCTGCAGGCAGCTCTTCATAAAAGTAGCTAACCCCTCCTCTGGGTTGGACACGGCTGACTTGGGCTGGATGGTGCAGAGAAAATAGTTAACTGTAACATCAAGAAAGGAAATTCACAGAAAGAAGTTGTCTGTGGAAAAGCTAACGTGGCAGAAGACACAGAAGAGATTGGGGCTTAGGGAGCTGTTTGTACAAGGCGTGACATCAAGAAGGAGACAACTAAGGAAGCAGCTAGGCAAGACTGGGAAATCCAAAAGGGATAAGAGGGAATGTCATTAGAGATGTGGGTTGGATAAGAGATCTTCAAACGAGAATGAGGAATTTAAATTTATGACAGAAGCCAAGGAAAAGAGTGCATCAAGGATCAGAAGAATACAGCCATAGAAGCAAGAGACAACTAACATGGCATTTTTGACACATCAGGGAAATGAATGCTGAAAACAGAAGATAAAACAAGTTATGGAGATGAAGGTTAGAGTTCGGAGTGAGAACAGAGAAGGAAGGATGAGTTGCCATAAGACAATATAGCAAAAAAGAAACTAACTCTTGGCAAGGGCCTAAATATGAAAACAGAAGGAGCAAGAAGTGATATGTGGGAAGATTGCCAGGGTCAAGACAGGACAGAAGTCGTCACGGATTATGGAAACAAGCTGCAGCTTAACTTCTACAAACTGAGTGCGTGATGACAGCTAACCAGACAGGAACAGATGTAAGATGGAAGAGACTGGAACAGACACTGAAAGCAACAGCACAGGTCTGAGAACTGCTACTGAGAATAGTGCTTTCTCCTTTTGTTCCTTGAAAATTAAAAGTACATTCAATCTAAACCAGGCAATTTCTCAATCTTCTTCATCCCCCCAACTCTTCCAGCCAGCGTTTCCTACTAACCTGGCATTTGAAACTCTTCAAATACTCGGCCCCCACCTGATCTTCTCGCTCAAACCCCGGTGCTTTCTTGTAGCTGCCGGCTGCCGTTACTGAATCTGGAGGAAAACCAATGCTCTCCAAGCTGTGTGGCTTTCCAATTGCGCCAGGAGGAGACCCACATATATTAGATGGGCTTCCGAGACTGCTGTTCCTACAAAGAATCTAATAGAAGGAACAAGAGTCAGAAAAGTACAGCAGCACCAAGTCGAAGAAGAAAAGCATCGCAGGGAACAGCTCAATCACTTCTTTGTGGGCATCAATTGTACTGACAGTCAACACAAGCATACAGGCTTCCAGTAAACAGGAGCTAAAAAACAGGGAAAAGCTCCCATAGATACTGGATATACACAGTCCCACAGTTATGGTTTTATTGCCAACACTTTGTACTGGAGTGCAATCTTATAAAAGCCAACCTACAGCTCTAAAAACATTTACTCTGAGGCCTTAGATGTGACAGTTTCCAAACCGGACCAAAACCCTCCTCACTTTCCTTAGACAGTTGTGTGATATGGATCCTATCTGTGCTCTGAGGAGTAGTGTGAAACCTGGAAAGGTATTATGGCAGTCAGAACAACCAAGAATATTTAAGCTATATGTAATGCTGCATTTTTTTGTTTTTCAGTTGGAAATCTGGAAGTTTTAATGCAGACACTACTCAAGTATCAACAGCTGCATTAAAAAAGGGATTTCCAAATTCTGTTCTTTGGACTGTAATCAGGGATCACAACCACATGCAACAAGTCTAGTTTTGCACTGGAGATGAAGCCACAGACAGCAGCAAAGGAGATTAAGAGGAGTTTTAGAGAAAGCGCCTACGTGGATGAGTGCAGACATCCCATTTCTCTGGGATTATTATCAGTTATTTGCCTGCACTGGCAAGCATGGCTGTGTTTCAAACAACATTTAGACAATTACTGATACCACAGATTCAAACGTGGCACAGTTTGGGTTTGCATTAGGAAGAGGGAACATCCTACAATGTTTTGATTTAGTTTTTATACAGACATTCTGCTGTCCGCGCTTCCCTACAGTCGGAAAGTTACTACTCACTGTGGTGGAGGTGGGGCTAGTTGGCAGAGTTCCTGCTTTACTCCACACCTACAGTACAAATACAAAACAGAACACGCCACGTGAGGCTGGCTGCTAGAGGGACCTTTTTCTTTGATTAATTCATCATGTAAAATGATCACCAGCAAAGCCATATTTGTTTGCAAGCTACATGCAGATGCCCTGTGGAGTGATGAAGTCACAGAAAGACATGTGTTGCCTTGTGGCTTGCATCCAAAGATTAGTAAAGAGACTGTTTAAAAGAATAAAAAGCTTGAGATAGAAAAAGACCTAAATGGGCTATTAAGTGGAAGAGATCGTTAATTTTGTTGCAGTAGAGCATTTGGGTGATATACTTGTAGGATAAAGGGCTTCTGTTTTTTACTTCTTTCTACAGTGTTATTTACCAAGAGAAAATACTATGTTCAGTCTTTCCAAGATCTGTTTGGAATTCTAGTTGCAATCAAATTCAGCAGAACTATGAACTGTTGGTTGGCTTTGGCACTAGGAAAAATCAAACTACCAGTTTCTCTTTACAAATAGGATAAAACAGAGGTCCTAAATGAGTTCACTTCATCCTGACCAGTTTGAAGCCAGTTAAACTCACGCTATTTTACTTTCTCAAAACCTTGACCAACCCTTTGAAAAGGTTATACACTTTGTCAACAGTAGTGCAAACAGGAAAGACTTCAAGAACTAAAAAAAATGAAGTGGTCTAGCATTCCATAGGCTTATCATCTTTCTGTGTGTTTCCATTCAGCATTTGAAGATCTTCGTTCTTGTGTGTACAACCAGAAGTACTACCAATACTCTGGGGCATTATTTAAACATATTGCAGTGTTCAGCTATATCCAGAAGGAAGAGAGGGAGGGAAACAAGGATATCCTATAATGAAACACACGACATGCGCAGGCTAAGCCTCTGCGTTTACGTATGTAAACAAACTCGATTGTAGTTATGTACTTTAGATTGTGTTGGCTCACAGCCTTTAAGGAGTACTTGGGAAACTGAGCCTGATATGCACCTCCAGACATGAAGGCACTGGACTGCATGTACAGGGTTACTGCACTTTCCTGAAAGTACATCAACAAGCTTTGTGCAGAAAGGAAGGCTTAGAAATTTTATAGGTGAAATGACGATGCTAAAACCACTGAACTGTATGTGCCAAACAAACAGATCCCTCTACAAAGCATGGAGCTGGTATCTAAAAGAAGAACGTCATATCCTGTGTGTCTCTGGATACTTTAAGATTTCTCTTCTTAGAGAAGGAAGAACAGCTTTAGAAAGCACATACGAGGCCTCCTCACAGGGCTACATACATTGCTAAGGTCCGGAGCATGTGGGCTGGAAGGGCTGACTGGAACAGAATCACCAGCTGCTGATGGCATATACATCACAGGGCCTGTCTGGGTAGGGCTAGACACAGCCGAGGATTGCTGTAAATCTTCATTGAGAGGAGGCTCTGAAAGAAATACAAGCACATGGAGCATTACTCAAAGCTGTACAATTGCAATGGGCCACAAGATGTTTATGAACAGAATGGATATTATTGAGAGAAGAAATATTCCACAAACACCTACTTATAAGCAGCACAAAAGCAAGGAGCAACCTGATCTGGCAAATAGCTACTTTTTAATCTAATATTCCTTATGTTATTACTGTCACCACTTGTACACTGTGCTGCTCATTAGTCTGTTAACACTGCTCCAAAATTATCTTCCTCGCATGAATTGTGTGTTATTCATTCAGCTGTCTTGAACTAAGCAGGGCTTCCTTCTTTGCTAGGCACAAAGTTGATGGGTGCGTTATAATTAGCTGAGGGAGATAAGTTCCCATCTGCTCGCAGTAGAAACCATTACCAAAAGAAAGTAACATACATAGAAAGGCGTACAGCTGTCAACCACACAAAAAGAAAGTGTCATTGACTTGGAAGGTGGAGTAGAGATGCTGCAGACTTGTAGTCTTTCATGTAATACAGCTCAGCATCTTTACAAGATCTACACGACAGGCACCATACTTGCAATACCTTTAACATACTGATTTCTACACGTTTCTTGTTAATAATCAGCAAAACTCATGCTAAGAGCATGTACAACAAATGTACTCGTGTTATTTCAAGTTAATTAGGTCCTCAGTGCTCACCTTAATAAAAAAAAAAAAAAGGACTTAAAAATATACATATCTATCTATCTCTATATATACACAATTCCATAAGATTGCACAAGAAATAACCAGGACTGAGTGACCTAGCTAGCCACAGAATGTTATTCTGGCTTTTTCATAGTATCAAGTACAGTTACCTTGTTACGAATACGGCCTCTCCTAAACAAAAATACTGTGTTATAGATGAGGGACTTTGCAAAACGCTGTTTGTCTATCAAGATTTCATTCTCTCTTGAGCTTGCAGCATCAAACTGTGCAGTTGCATTATTGTGTTTTGGGCCACTATAGCCCAGAGCCTTTGCTGTAATTACTGCTTGTCTACCAGGCTTCCTATAAAGGAGCTCTGTAAACTGTAGGGAATGTACTCTCACCATTCTTTGACAAAGGCAGCAATTACTAATTCCACCATTCACAAAGGATAATCAAATAACAAAGAGATGTGCTCAAGGCCATGAAGCAAGGCAGTATCAGAGCCAATCTACTGACTTATATGTAACCTGCTCTAATTACTGCAAATTCAACAATGAGACTGGAGTGCAAAAGTATGAGCCATAGGACTTGGGAGGTAACCATTACCTATGAGTGGATTAAAATAATGCTCTATAAATCAAGGAGCTAGTAAGAAAAGCAGATTTGAGGAACAGTGGACAAAAAGCCGCATATTTTTCTTCACCAACCTGAAGGTTTAAACTTTATGCAAAATATAAATAGTAAAATGTTATTTAATTTGTAGAACAGATCAATGTGTTATCTATAACCTGCAACTTTATCATCAGCTTTTAAAAATTAAACCAGTTTGCAACTTAGCTATGAACTGTTCATCTACGTACAGAAGACGAGCAGCTCTCACTCTGTTCATTCTCCTAACTCAACATATGGAGAACTGAGCAAGTGAAAGACAGAGGGAAAAACGCTTCGAGGGACAGTGCAATGGGACTGCCTACTGCCTTCAGCTCTGTTAACACCTCTCACTAGCACAGTTTTACAGAAATTATCGAAGTTAATACTTTGTTTCTGAAAATCTTTCACATAAGCTCTTTGTGGCCCTATATTTTAAGCTATTTTAAGCTATCTGTTCTGGCCAGACTCTCTCCATAGCTTCAATTTCAAACATCCATGAAAGATGAGAGGAGCAGCCCACGTACGTTCTACATGTGCAAAGGCACAGAAGGGTCCTCGGGGACAGCTGCCAGACTGCTGCATATCATTGCACTTGGTGGATTTGTAGATCTAAGGATGGGAAAAAAAATAACCAGACATGAACAGGAAAAAACAGTGACTGGCAGCCCAGGTACAAAAGTACTATAAAGCGACTCAATGATAAGATAGAAACACAGATAGAAGGCAAAAAGGCCAGCAGGTTTCAGGGTGACCCACTACAGCTACAGAAACCCCAGAATATGCCCATTACAGTTAAGCTCACGCAAAGAACACCCCCATCACAGTCAGCTCCCAAAGGTTACCAGTTTGCCATCAACTCCCTCAGTCTCACTGGGAGCTCCATGGATGACAAAAGTGCTAAAGGGTAGGAAACAGTTGGTAGGTAACAGCCCAGAAAGCTACAGCCATGTTTTCAAGGAAAATGACAAACTGTTGACAACGGTTGTAAGAAATTGATTATTTCCCTTCCACCCCAGTTTGGTGACAATGGCTACTTTGCTGATACAGGCCCAACAAAGATTTTCAGCACTGTAACACGAAGCAGACTAGGACAAAGTCTTAATTACACTTTCTGCAAGGATACAGGAATGCTCTGCACATGCTCAATCTAAGAGTTTGGCAGCTTGTAGCACCAATTTGTGGGTATTTATACCCTCTGTATCCCAGGACCACACCGCAAGCAGCACACAGACTCTCCCAGCTGGCACATGAATGTATCACATAAACCAGGAATTCATTTGCTTTTCTAGTCAGCTACCAAACTGTCAGAGCAGGTTACTGTACCTCTGGATGGAACTGCTGCTCTGTGCGAGTGTGGCAGTATTGGCACGAGTCTCCATTTTCACACTTGGTAGGATCTCCCCACTCATCTCCATGTTTCACACTGGGACACGGCGAAGATCTGTGGAAATAAGGGAGCAGCAGACTGCATCAGATGCACAAATGTGTTTTGAGCTTTGCTTTTTCAGTTGGGAACCAGGCGCAGCTGCCCCCCCTCCCTTCCCAGCTGTACAATCCCTTTGGTTGACTGCTGCTTCCTCAGCCCCCACAGTGCTGCTATTGCTTCTTCCTCCCCCTCTCCCAGTTTCCCCATGGAAGCAGCATGGCTTAGTTCTCTGTCTGAAACCTAATACAACCTGAGCCAACGTAACTCAGCAATATTAGCAGCTGATGTGATTAGTGTCAGAGATGCAAGGTCTGTTTTCTCTTTTGGAATGGTACATTCATAGAAAGCTAACAAGTTAATTGGCTAATCCTAAAACACATAATACCCTTTCAGTGGTATGTTTCCAGGGTTGTAGTGTGGCCATGTGGGACAGAGGCAGTCAGGTCACTGGGGAAAAGGCAAGCCCATTTTCTTTCTCCCAGCTGGGAACACTTCCGTTTCCCAACTTTGAATGTTTGCTGTGACCTCCTTCCTCTGCTCTTTATGCTCTTATCCATTCCCCAAAACAACAGCAGAGGGAAGCAGACAGCAGCAGCAGCAGATGCCTGCACAGAAGAGGCAGCCACATCAGCTGGGGGTGGGGAAGCAACACAGAAGCAAGAAGGGATCAGGAGGAGAGAAGCTTTCACCTCTTCCCTTCCCCAAAGTACCCAGACGGGCAGAAAGCACGTGGCTGCTGCCTGAAGACTGACTTAGTGTTCCTGTTTCTCCTGGAGGGGTTGGGATTAATATTCCTTGGATTTTTTTGTTTTTTTTTAAATACAGAACTTCAGTATCGATTCAAAAATTTCTGTGAATGCTGGGGGCGGGGAAGGGAAGTGAGAACATCCACTGTATTTTCTCTCCTGGCTTTCTGATCTGCTCTTATGTTTTTCAAAAGGGAACTAAGGAAAAACCCCACTGAGATCACAACAAAAGCTCTGTTGTGTTAGAGGAAATGAGGGCCTATAACTTGGATAAACTCGTTCAGGGAGACGCAGCATGCCGAAAAATCCAGGGACAGCTGAGCGAGGAGAACACCCTGGTGCCTCAATAGCAGTCTTTAGCAGCCGGTTAGGAATGCATGTCCAGCTACAGTACAGGTCACACTGTGCCTCACGATCCCCATCACCGCTCACATACAACAAGCAGCCTGGTGATTCTGAATCCCTTACCCATGAAAACACTGCTCTGAGAGTTTTTTCTAGATGGGGATTTTTTTCTTTTCTTGCACTGCTTTTTAAAGCGAGAGTTTATTTGAGAAGGGGAAGACAGAAGCAGATCCTGTTTACCATAAAACCAGTTGTAACACTATTTAGCAACAGTTATTTATTAGAGACACTGGTTCCTCTATAAAGCAGAACTCCCTGTTTATTTGTTACCCCATCTCCTCGATGGAAATAACAGTCCATCATATCTGTCAGTAAAGGCCTTAGAGGCACACTAAAAAACTATCTAGCAGAGAAAATCTTAAATCCTTCCTCCTTACAGGCTTCTAATACACCTCACCACTCAACTCAGCTGGGAAACAGAAGACCCAGGCCCAGGATTACCTGTATTTGTGTTTTCTTGGGCTTCTTCTTCTGTCTTTGCTATTGTGGTAGTAGGGACAGGCATAACCCTGGCGACAGAGGCGGGGGGGTTTCTTACATTGCTCTGTCTTGTAATTTCCCAACACATACGTTGTATCTGCAAGAGACACAACCAGTTAGTTACCATGATCTCTATTTATTACACAAAGGTTTTTAACAGGAGCATGCACTCCACAAGCACCAGACCTTCCCAGTCCTGCAGAGCTTAATCGACACTCACCTTGCCACCTTGGCTCCTCGCTGAGTATTTTTTCTATCATAGCATGGCTAGCAGCAACTGCAGACTGACCCTCTATGCCACCTTCTGATGTAGTCTGACCATTCTGCAAAGCTTCCATGGCCTGAAGCTCCCTTGGTGGACAAAATCAAGTGAACAACAGACAGATTGAGCAGGTGGAGACAGATAAATGCTTATAAAAACTGTGACATACCATGCAACAATTCTTAAGTGGGTGCATTTCATTCATACTTTCTTTTACTATAAGAATATCCTTAGTCAAACAGTAACTGCAATACCTGCTCTTCATCCTCTGACAATTCCGGATGCACTATTTTGACGCCCCCACCAGTTCCCACATCACAACTAGCTTAAAGTGTGCTCCCTCCCTGCCCCGTTTTGAGTATCCTCCCTGGAGATTTTGTAGATCTGCCTTATTAGGAATGGATACATCATCATCACTCCAACACCAAGCATTTCACTCTGAAGCAGTATGGTCCCAGAAATTACCCTTTTCATACAGAGCCCCAAGCCCTACTAACCTGATGTCATACACCGGAGAGCGCAGATCATGGGGCCCGTGAGCAAAAGCACAGTGGACTCCGTTCTTTGTGCAGTTTCCCTTGGAGTCTGTCTCATGGATGCAGATTCCAGTTTTGTAGTAGCGCAAGTGATACCTCCTCTCTGTGTCTCCAGTAGTTCTGTGCAAGAAGGGGCATCTGGGGTACAGAAGAAGGGGAAGAACCGCCACAGTTTAGTCACACAGACTCAACACCATCAGGAGACACCTTGCCAATATAGGATGCTGTTGGCAACACTTTTGCTAACTCTCCTTCTCCTATTGTGCCTTCCAACATTACGAAGAACCCTTAAACCTGTCACTGCACAGTATTTAGTAGTTTCCCTTCAAAACAGACAACTGAATTATTAAGCCAGCAGCAGCTTATTATTCTACCCTACTGACTGCCAGGGATCTGGAAAAGAGCAAGGACACTGTCGAGGCATTCTGATATACTAGCCATGATTGAAGGGACATCACATGGCACAAACCATTTCCCCATCTAGACTTCGTGCTGTTACTGTTTCCTGCTGGTAACAGCCTTTCCTCCTACAGGGCTGCGACTGTCTATCTATAGCCAGATGCATCCTTTATGCAGAGCACAGGACAAGAAAGGAGAATTACGACTCTAACATTTTAATTGATGTTTTGTTTCCCCTCTTAGGCAGAAAAAAGAATAATCTACACCGGGAAATATAAAAAGAACATGATAGAATCAGTGAAGTTTATGCGTTGCAGTGTTTAGCTAAAAATACAAATCAGCAGGATTTTGAGATAGCAGCAGTTTTCATTTGTTGAATTTGAGCCAGATATGAGACAGTGATCTAGAAGCCAAAGGCCCCACATGTCTTATTTTTCTAATCCCTTCCAGTTCTCTTATAAGAAGGAAGAAAAGTATTGAAACAGAGGCTTCAGGCTAGGGATTTAGTCCATTCTGCTGCAGCCACAAGATCTTTACTTAATCGGACAAAAAAATATTGTTTTCCCAATAAATAGCATTTTTCTATGTGTGTTTATACTGGCACAAAGAAAGGGAACTGAAATTCCATCTTTCTATAGCATCTCTATATAAAACACTCTCTATATTTGACCATGGTTTGGCTACACTATTTATTCTTCCATATCTGTCACGTGGGTGAAGTCATATTGCTGTGTTAACCCATTAACAGCAGGAACCTGCCACAAACACAGCAGAAACACTTGCATCTCTCACTTAAACTTACCACAGTCACAAGGAGGGAAAACCCAACAAAACAAACTCTTCCTCCTGTTGCCTTATTCCAGATCCCTGACCTTTCCCCACTGGCTTCTTAAAAGTTCACGAAGACAAAACAAACTGGCAAGTAATGAGTATGATTCAAAAAGCTGGGTCTGGATAATTCAGGGACAGATTGAGGACAAAATTCCTACTCTTTCAGCAATCTGTTAAAAACTGAGCTATAAAGCTACTGAACAAAAGCTATAATTTGACAATTAGGGACTTAGAGGAAGAATCTCTTTAAGTCCATTTGTCAGCTAGCTGTTTTTCACACCAGCTTTGCTAAAAATACATGAAAGCTGAATTCCCATCAACTTTGGTATCATCTCTGCAGCAGGCCTGGAGTACAGGGATTGCTACTACAGTTTTTACATCTGTTCTCATGTTACGTACGCTACACAGCTGCTTTGCTGCTGACTTGCCTCATCTCTACAAGACCTGGCTGGAATCATCACTGGACCCATCCCAAAAGCCTAATGCCTGAAAAGCAGGGTGCAGTCTTTACTCACTCATCTCCTTCTGGGCAGATTCCTGTGGTCTCGTCATACTTGGTACAGTAAATGTCAGGGCTGTAGTTAAATGTACCATCCCGGCGGCGGATAGATCTGCGACGACGCTGGTTGACAAAGTGCCAGTGGAAGCAAGTGTAGGGCCGGTGCTGAGTGCACTTGTGCTGCACGAAGAGAGGGCACTGCTCCGTGCGGAACTCCTTCAGGTAACTGCAGACAGAAACCCAAAAAGCAGAATTTTAGGACTGGGATGGTGGTTGGAGATAACCGATTTCCCCACAGAGCCTGTGCCAAACCAGAGCATCTGTCCCAGAGGTGCACGCCGTCCTTCCCACACCTGCCTGGATTTTCCTCTCAGCACTGCAGGCTGGGAGCTGCTGGTTGTCCGTAAGGGGCAGGTATCAGTTACCGGGTTGGTTAACACAAACTGGAAAGCTAAAAGTAGCTGAAACTGCTTTGTGTCTTCCGGTATCATTGCAAAGAGGCTTTTCACAATCTTAGAAAACAGTTTGTGAGAAAAGACAACTCTGAAGTACCTTTCCAACCGTTTCTATCTCTAAATCTGAGATGTGGGCAAAAAGGGTTTTCCCTCAGAGGTCAGTTTTAAAAAAAAAATAAATCAATAAAATAGATTTCTTTCAAGTTACTGAGAGAAAAAGATTTAAAGAAAACAACAACAACAACAACTTTTCCACCCCTTTTCCTCCTAGTTTCTCTCTGTTTCTCCTTCAGGCACATGTCAGCTGCAAATATAAAATCAATCCATTTCTCTCCTGCAATCTTGTGAATTCGGGACTCACTCTTGAAAAGCAGCGTAACCATCCTCAACTCCTGGATGCTTACGTGCTTTACTTTCATGTGTAATTCTCTGAAAGTACGTGCCTTCTTTTATCCCGAGAACTAAAGAAGTCACAAGCTTTTATTTGTGACACTAATGACAGTCTCTAAACCCAGATTGTAGAGGATTACAAAATGGTTTAGATCAACATGATGACCTGACTGACTGTGATCTGTGTGGAGGTGCTTACCAAGCTCATGCTGCCCGAAACCCTCCAGGGACCCCCCCCCAGGTATTTTGAGGGAACACACCAACAGCTCGAGGAGCTTGGACCCAAACCCCATGGGGTGAGGCTCCAAGAACACCACAGAAGGCCCCCAGCAGACCAGGGGTAACTGCCTCCCACAACAGGTCACGCTCTGGTCTCTTATGTTTAGAGGTTTAAAGCAGGGAGGAACAAAATCTGACCGTCAGATAAATGCTGGCATTCTGCTGGAAGCAGCAGGGTGGTCTAACAGCAGATGCGGACTCATTTTGAGCTGTGTGTGTACATCAAGGCAAAACAATGGAGTACAGGAATTTGTGAGTTATTCGTTCCCATACCATACAATCTATCACACTTCTAAATAAATGGAAATGTGCCTGATGCCTAAAGATGTATTTACAGATATTGCACTGAACTCAGTCAGAGAGCAACAGCTGTAAATGAAGTATCCTTTCCTCCTCCCCCCAGGCTGACAAGAAAGCCTCAGGAAAACAGATGTATCCAACAAAAGTGATTTTATTTGTTCGCTCTGAGGAGAGCCTAGCAGTGGTGAGAGCTTTCCTACATGGGATTTTGCCAGTGTGAAAGGATAAAAGCTCCTCCTCTTTAGCTTCCAGAGATGTGGGATGTGCCTTCGCCCTGAATCTGTGAAGGCCGCGCACCCCAAGCCCACCCATCCCCGGACAAATATCCGCACTGGGGCCTAATGCTCAATGCCAGAAAATGTGGAGGCAGCATGCAGAAACACGTCCGTTTGGAGCAGACGAGGGCTAACAACATCATTTTGTTCCTTTTGGCTTTTAAAAAGCCGGCTCCCTTCAAATGGAGGTCCCCTCTCCAAGCACAGCAGTTCATCTGAAAAGGGAATGTCGTGAGAGAATTAATCCATGCTTGGACAGCTTTCCAAGCCGTTGGACCAAGTACAGGTGTAGAAGGAATTCTCCAGATTATTTTATCTTATCAGTGCGTTAATAAGACTTAGGAGAGAAGTGACTGTAACAACACTCAGGTTAGAAAGTGAATTAAGCAAACTTAAGCAGCATGAGCTGACTGCGCTGCGGGATGCGGCCTGGTCACCAGCCAGGCCCTTCCACCCAGACGTCTCCACATACACCTGAGAGGGGAGGTTTTATTTTCATGCTGCTGCTGTTTTACACACAGAGAACAGCAAAACACGGGCTGCGTGCCCCAGCCAGTGTCATACAGCATTCAGAGTCAGCGAGAGAAACCAAAAGAGCATTCGTCTGCACCAAAGTGAGTGAAGAGTCCAGGCTTAATTTGAGGACCAGCATCCTGAACCTCGCCAGTGCTCAGGGACCTGAGGGGAGATATCAGACCTAAACCACCCAGGCATCAAGCCCAGCACTCCAGTCCTTCTAGTGAAAGGCATGTATGAAACACGGCATTAAAAAAAAAAAAAGAAAAACTAAAAATATACGATCAACAAGCTGAAATGGCTTCGCTTTAACTGGAGAGTTTAAAAACGTACACACAGCCGAGGGAGTTCGGTCTCTGGAGTGTCAATTGTTGCTGAAGAGCATTTGAAAATTAATTGCATTTCATGATTGGCTAAACTCCCTGGAGAAACATTTATTATAATGTAAATGAGAGATAATTACATAAGTAAATGGTTCACCTGAGAAGTGTTTAACACCTAACTCGCTTCATCAGAAACTCATGCTTTGATGCTGTCTATTAAATAAATGATCTCTCACTCTTCATTTCAACGCGAGCCCCGCAAACAGGTATCACCGAGCTCGGCAGCAACACATTAACTGCGCACCATCACCTTTGCCATCAAGCCCAACAGAGGAAAACCAGAGTTGTCACATTAACTCGGTCATTTCAAACCTTTCAATCACTGCTTTGGGTTCTTTTTTTTTTTCAGCCCACTGTAACATTTTAAATCACCCTCCTTCACAATAGCCTGAATGGTAAATTGCCTTATAGGCCTCTATTTTCTTGATTTATGAATTGAGTTTTGGCTCCTTTGGGGGAACACGGGCCACTCAGCCAGCCACTCTGTATTAAAATATATGAAAGACATCCAAACCACATGTGTTTTGGGAACAGGGGAAGGATATACGGACTGCACGGCTGCAATGTGATTGCTCACTAAGCAGAATGCTATTAATATTTCAATAGTCTCTCGGCAAGGGCTCTAAGCAGAAACGCAGAACACGCTGTCGTGACAGATCCTCCTGGCATGCGTGGTCTCCGCAAATGCTTTCCCAGTGGACTTGGGAAAAGGAATTTTTGAACGACCCTTCAAACTGAAAACACGCTGATAACTGGTACATGTTTCACAGCATGTCAGCCAAATGCCATGCCTTTACAGGAAGAGGAAATCTAGCAATGATAACTCACATTTCTCAACTCTCTGAAGAGCTCAGGAAACTCTACACGAGGGGCAGACAAATTAGCACCCCGCTTCACATAGGAGTTATTTCCATATTTGTTAGAAAAAAAAAAGACGTGAAACTGATCAGTTTTGCATTCATCTACTTAACACACATATAACACAAGAGAAAGTGCTTTATTTAATATTTTCAAGCTCAGTTTTTTAAGAAGCAGAAAGCACATAGCATGATCTTCTCGTGATACTACATTAAGTCAACAGCAACACCCAGGTTCCTGGAGGAAACCTTATCATTTACAATTCCTACCAAAGACAAATGCAATTTATCTAAACAAATAAGACAATGCTGGCCAGAACAATGCGTGTCAAAGTCACCAGGCTGAACTGAACTTGCTGCTGAGCGGGACAGCCGCTACCAGAAACGAAAGCTTCTTTCACTAGGAAGATGATGGGAAAGATGACTTTTCCCACCTAGCTTTGGGAACTCCTGGAGAATGAAAAGAGCTGCAAAGTCCTGGCGCGGGGGGATGACACACCAAGAGTTTTACTGTGCTGAAATCCCACTTCCTGCAGGCTGAGAAGTGGGAAGGGGCAGTAATAACTCTCCGCCAGAGTTTATACTAGCAGGGGAACTGCCAACTGCCTGTAACTGCTAGCAGCAGCTCAGCAAGTGTTTGCATCTGCAGCCAGCAATTGCAGCCAGTTCCCCCTCTGCCCTGGGGGGGGATCGAGCTGCAACCTGCTTCGGGAGCTGCAGGCGGGAAGCCTGGGCAGGGGGGAGATGCAAAATTGCACTTCCAAATGTCACCAACAACAAAAAAAAATAATAAAAAAATAAAAAAGGGGAAGAAAAACACAAGAAGAAACTAACCGAGAAGCTTCATTTGCAAACTCAGTAACTGCAGCCTTGTCCTGGTCGCATTCCTCGCCTGCTGCTGCAGAGATGGCTCGGCTTGCTGCAGCTTTGCTGGTTTGGCTGTGCGAGCAGCCGGCGTGCTCCAGCAGCGCGGCGCGCAGGATACCTGCATCCAGAACATGTTCCAGGGCCGCAGACTTCCTGCCAAACTTGATAAAAGTCACGCATGCACTGGCGTGAGCTCAATTCAGGAAAATGTGCTGGTGATGCACGAAGACAGCTGAGCTCTAAATTCCTCGTTAAAAGCCTTTCCCAAAGCTCCCTGAAATCACTGGAAGACGCGCGGTGACGCCAGAAGAGAAATCTCTGCTTTATAGCAGAGGGATCAGGAGCACTGGGGGGGAGAGGCATTGTTGATGAAGGTGGAAAAGAAAGGAGAAAAACAACAACTCCAAATCCCTGTTCTTCCCACAACACAAAGCCGGGCCCTCCTTCCCTTCCAGCACCCCTGCGCTGTCTTTCTGCATGCCCCAGGACGGGCTCCTCTCCTCGCAGCCCTCCTCACTCCTCCCCATCAATTCCCTTTCTGCCAAAATTCCTTTCGGGCCCAAAGAGAGAACCGAGGCTGACAAACGGGATCTAAATCTTCTGCAGCAGTAGGACAGCAGAGAGAAAACCATGAGGTAATTGTCTAATCCGGACTAAGGCACTCTGCCTGTACAAGGAGGGCAGCAGGGAGACCTCACGCCAGCGTCATTCAGGTTCTGCGTGCACGTGGTGGGTGCCTACACCCACACAACCACGCTAAAGGACCTCTCGGAGAGGCCCACGTGAGTGACTGGTGCTGGGTTTTGTGGTGTGAGACCGAAATAAACCACGGACACCTTTCCTGGGAGCCCCAGCCATGGGGCCCCATCCCCACAGCAGCTTCCGTCACACGAAGCCACTCGCAGGAGGCAGCACGGGTTGCTCTCAGGTAAATCTAAACCAAGAACCCTGCAAATAAAGTGCCTTTTGTTTAAAAAAAGAAAAAAAAAAGAAAAAAGAAAACAAACAAACCTCCATTTCCTGTGACGATTTCAGAGATAAGGAAGAAAACGCTCTCATGCCATTTATGTTTCTTTTAGTCCTGTCTGCCTGCATCTCTTGACAGACAGGATCATGCAGCAAAAATCTAATTTTATCGGCATAAAATAGCTGGGAATGCCGTGGGCTTGTGCTGGCCTTTTTACATCCATGAGTCCCGCTGTTTCAGACAGGACAGCACGAGGCTACACCACAGACCTCCCTGTAAAGTTTCAGGTGGTCCCAGCACACCGCAGCCATGGGCAGAGCTTTCTGAGCCCTGCTGTGTGAACGACAGAGGTCACTGCTCCCAGCTGCTCCCCGGCTTTCCTCTGCTGGAAGCTCCCCTCAGCACCCACCTTTCCAGGCAGCAGGAGGCTCAAAGGTTCCCTCATTCAGCTTAGGAATAAATAAATAAAGAAAGAAAATCATCAGCGCTGCTTCAAAGTTTAAATGAGTGGTTTGAGCTAGCGCAGAATTATCTGAAGCAAACCCAACGTGCTTCCCCAACAGGCTCATGCAAAGTGGGCAGCATTGCAAAACCCAGGAAAAAAAACAATGTCACTGTAGATATAGATGTTTCAAATTCAATACAGCTTATTAATGAAAATATTTTCAAAACCGCTGTTTTCTTTTTAAGCTCAGAGAGCAAACGCAACACAAGGGGAAAAGAGCTGTCCGTATTTAATCAGCTCTCTAAATTCATTTCACCCTCATAAAATTTTATTACAGAAGATGATATCAAACACGCTTTAAGTAAGAAACCCATGACTCAATTATTTTCCTTTACTGAACTGTGGTATTCCAATTGAAATGAGTCAGTGGCGCATGACAGAATCTACTTATTCCAACAGGATACTCAATAAAAATCCCACTAATGTACCTTTTGTCTAACATATCATTACTGACAGGGGGAAAGCCACGATATGCAGCTCTGACATTGCTCCGGAGTTTTTGCTCTTCAGTCAAAGATACTCCAGAACAACTGTAAATAAATAAAGAAACGGGGATTTAAAGAAAAGCATGGCTCCACAATAATTAGCCCGCGATGGATATTGTGAGATTATTGAGATTTGGGTTTCTCTGTGCCGGCAGTTCCCCGTAACACCCTTCCACATCTCCTGGCACACCGGCAGGGCAGCTTTTTTAGGGAATTCCTCGGCACACCAAGGAGGTCAGCGAGGCGCCAGCCTCGGGGGCTTTTACTGCTGCCAGCGACCACGGCCTCCGAACACCTTTCAGAAACAGGGTTTGACACCACCTTTCCCAAGACATCTTATAAAATGTTTTCATTTCGAAGCGAGCTTCCTGACAGGGAACACAGCCTTCCACTCCCGTGATTTCTTGGGATTTGGGAGAAAAAAAAGCATGAAAGAAGCAATCTGGCTTCACGGGAGCTGAAACTTCACAGGGGTGGGCACTGGGAAACCGCGCTCCCCACCCCACAGCTGGGGTCTGCCCGCAGCCTGCTTTAAAACCTGCCTAGACCCCCGGCAGGGAAACATTCAGCATCCTTCTAATCAGAGCAGGAGTTCAGACAAGTTTGTTCCAACAAACAGCTGGGGGGAGCTGAGTGTGGTGGTTTTTTTTTTGCCATTGTTTAAAAAAAACCCTTACTAGCAGATGTCATTTCATATTGAAATACAGTCTCACGCTAGTCACAGCTGAGTATCAAGCAAAATAATAAGCATTTAATAATTGCAAACACATTTAGCAGCAAGCTTGATGGTTTTCATCGTGATTTCAGGGTAAGTTTTCTGAGCAGGCTTTGGCAGGAACCTTTATCAGTCACCACTATTGTGACAGAATCCAATGCCAGGACCGATTTAACAAAAATACCAATTTAATGCTGTTTTTCTCAACAAGCTCACAGACCTGCCTAAGCCCCCATGCCCCCAACACAAAGGATTTTTGCACATGCCATGCATCGCCTTCCACAAAACATGAGCATCGCTCTTTTGCAGCACACCTCAACAACCGCTCGGCTTTTTCCCCTTCCAGGCTGTCAAGTCAGGAGCAGTTTTGTAAGCCTTGAAAAGATTAGAAAGCATTTAAACCTCCGAGGAAAATAGATGGGCCACTTTATAAAAACAAAAGGCTGCCAGCGAACGCGGGGAAGGAAAAAAGGATGAGGAAAAAAGTTTCGGCAAGCTCCCATCTGTCAGGAAGACAGACTTCACATGCCTCGGTGTTTTCTTTATCACCTAAATAAATTGAACCATCAACTGGAAAAAGGTCACGCCGCAGACAGTGCCGGGCCATCGTGAAGCTGTTCGATTTCCCCTTCTCCATTAGAGCTTGACAATAATGTCAGCCTAAGGGCGAAGAAAGAAAGTGAAAGTTGGAGAGGCTCGTTGCAGACGCACGGAGCTGGCCTGGGTTGGTTTCGAGGCGCTCCCGTAACCCACGGCGTACCCCTGCGAGCAAAAGGACGACGGCTTCACGTCCGTGGCACACGGTGTGCTGAGAGGTTCCCCTGCTTTTCGCTGCAGGACCAAGGAGGCTGCACGCACAGGTTTTCCTTTTCCTCGACATCCGATGGATCTGGCAGGCGAAGCTGAGCTGGAAGCTTCCGCTTCAAGGCTGCAGGGTAGCGTGTGCTGCACAAACTGCAGCACCAGCTGCTATTTTGGGATGTCAAAGCACGCCGGGGCGGGTGACAATGCGAGCAAGGCAGCCGGACTCCACGGGAAGAACAAGGGATTACTTTGCGCTCGATCACTTTCCCGGCACTTACAGATGGGAGCTTTAATTGATTGCTAAAAATAGCCCCGTCCGTCCCGAAATAGAACAGCGGCAACTCGCAGAAATTTTCATGAGGTTTGTCAATGGGAAGCAAAACATCTGAGAAATGGCTGTTTCTCGTGGATACAGAAAAGCTACGGAAAACAAAAAATACAAATTGATGCTGCAGCACGGTGCCAAGCCGGGACAGGAAGACAGCCCCGCACCAGCTTCAGCCAAAAATGGCTTCGTTTGGAGAAAAATCCTGCCGTGCAGCATGAGCAGCTCACCAAGGCCGTGTCTCGGTGAGGAAAGGGCTTTGCATTCAGTTTTAACGCAATAAAATCAACGCCTGCCCCGTGCACCAGCAGCCAGGACCCCAGGCTCAGGGTTAGGGTTGCGTTACTGACCATGGGTGTGGGGGTGCTCGGCCCCTCTTCCCCGCAGCCCAGGGCGGAGCTGTGCCATTCAAACCAGCCCAGCAGAACACCTGGAGGCTTTTTTTTTTCTCTGTCTGCATGTTATTTTTTAAAGCATCAACCTGTTGCATCAGCAGGCCATGAATGGTAACAAGGCAGAGTAATTCCCATAAAACCTGTCTTAAACCCAAGTCTTTGTTTGCACGGAGCTTTCAGCTTTATAATTAAAACAATCCAAGGACGGGCACATGCAAACCCTTATCTAGAGGGCATTTTGGAGCTGTTTCCTTAGGAGCCACGAAGCCTTCAGCTCACGCTCACATTTCACCCAGTTTGATCTCCGTGAACACGCATCGCTTGGTGAGACCTCAGGATTCAGGCCGTCCATGCGATGTTTTAGAAACATTTTTCTAAATTGTTTTTCAGAAACAATTTTTCCAAGTTGGAACAAAGCATTTTCAGCTTGACAACACCCCAGCTGTGCCTGAAGCAAGCCTCAAACACAGCCCTCATCGCTCTCCGGGTTGGTTTCCACTCCACACCCTATTTCGGGGCCATATTATTCCTTCCCTACAGCACCTGCCTAAGTGCTGAGCTTACGAAACCAGGATCGTATTGAAGCGATTATGTTTCAGCAACATGTGGACTGAGCTCAACTGTTTCAGTGAAAATCCTCAAACTTAATGCAGCTGGACAGCTACACGCTGCTGGAGGCCTCCACCTGCTTCCATTCTCACTACAATACATCAACGTGTGCGTAAATACGAGCACGTATTTTACTACTAATTACCTAAGAGAAACATCCATCCGTGGGCTTTTTGCAGTCCCAAATGTGGAGAACACCCAATAAGTCTTTGGAAACACCAGGTTCATACGGAGTTGACGTGTATCGGGTTTGCTGGACTCGACCGAAATGAACCGAGGCCCGAAGAATCCATCGATGTCCTGTGCTGTAATAATTCAAACGCCAGCTTCCCGTGAGGTTTCTGACACAGCACTTCTCTCGGTGCTCCTTCAGGCCCTCCCAAAACCTACCCAGGGTCAGCAGCTGTAGGAACGCTCGGGGAGGCTGCTCGAAGCGCTGCGTTACTCGCTCTGCTAGCTCCCTACAACGAAACATCCCACGTGCAAGGATCTGCAAAGGCTAATTCAGAACAACCTTGCTTCCACACAAGCCGTTACACAGCTCTGGCTTTCAGCGACGGGTTTTTACGAGTGTTTTCCAAGCAGCAAACCTTCAGCACCCAGCCTCACAGGGGATGCTCCAGAGGCAGCAGCCCTCCCTCTCCTGCCCGTGCCCGCAGCCTTCATGATCTAACAAGCAGCTCGAGGATCGGTTGCAGTCCCACGCTCACAACAATTTTAAGGCAGGACATGAACTGTCTGAAGGTCTGCACGAGCACTGAACCACAAGCATCAACCTCAAACTCCTCATGAAACGACGGCTCTGCAGTGCTCTCGGCCAGAGCGCTCCACGTGCGAGCAGGCAGCGTTGTCTGCGCCTCTCCAGGCTGAGAGCCAGCCACATCTGCAGCAGGCTCCTTGGAAAGGTTTATTGTGAACAGACACTTTCTGTTGCGAGTTCGAAACAAAACACGACGATTACCTAGCAGGCAGAAACCTGCAGCCATAACACATGTGCCAGCAGAGAGATAACAACCAGCTCTCACGGGCTGATGGTACAGAATCGCTGTTAGCCGTGCCGGTGATTTTCTCTCCATCCAAGGCAGCCCAACGGACAGGACCAGCACACCTCAGAACCAAAACCCTGCACCCAGACAGGTTGCCAGGAGCACCGACGCTTCCCACAGCAGCACCACGGCACGAGGGGAAAACAGGCAAGCCCTGGGTTACGCCACCAGGGCTCAGTTTGAGATGGGAACAAATCTTGCAAGGCATTTGAAACGCGCAAACCTTTGTTGTTGTTGTTGTTGCTGCTGCAGAGCTGCACGGCTGCCCCGAGGCATCTGCTGGTTTTATTCCTGTTCCGATGGCAATACCCAGGTGCTGTTCAGGGAAGCTCTCAGCTGATTGAAACTAAGAGGAGAACAATCACCTCGGAGCGGGCCGGGCGCTGCTTGATGAACGGCGGTGACACGCGGAAGATAAAGATTAACGAGTGAAACAACACCGGCTGCAAGTCAGACTTCTGCAGATACTCATCGGGTATAGGCTCAAGAAGCTCTTTTCCTTTCAATGACTGCTTATTAATCTGAGAAGAAATTCTAGGCATGTGATGATAAAAAGCAGCCCCACCATCATTTCCTACCTGGAATCAGCTGTGCAATTGTTCTTACGAGCCAGCGTGCTCCACACAAACGTATCTGCACTCCTGACCAACAGATAGCTAGAGATGGCCTCAGATTTCTCTCATCTGACAACAAACTCAGTCCAAGTTCCCCTTCTGCTGCTGTTCCAACAACCACGTTCAGTTGAACGTCTCTGACTTTTAATAAGAGATCGGAATCAGGCCAGCAGCCAGCATCTCAGAGAGCTCGCAATTTATTATCAACACTGCGACGGTGCAATTAGCTTCAGCACTGAAAAATGCTCATTTTTCTTTTCAAAGGAAGCCCCAAACTTCCCTCGTTTTAACAACAGCCTCCTAAAGCTGAGCCGAGCCCCGCGGCAGCACGAGGCTGTGCCGCTCAGCAGCCTGCAACAAATTTCAGAGGAAATCGTTGGCACTCGTTTCAAGGGAGCCTTCATTCCAAGTGATGCTTCAAATGTCAAACCGGTATTAACGGCATCAAGCGCTGATCAAAATACACAAGGAATGACAGAGATTGCTGCGAAAATTATCGGAAGCATCTCAATGGGCTGGCAGCACGAGGTGGAGTTGGAGGAAGGCTTCAGCAGCTCCCTGCGAGCTCTCCTAGCGAGGCTGGGTGCTCCTGATTGCCCCGGAACAAAACACAAACTCTGTCTTAATGCAGTAGAGGAGAAAAGCAGCCAGGGAATCTGCCCTGCTGCACAGCCTGCTGGCACCTGGTCCCGTTACAGAGGACGGCGAGGGAATTGCCAGGCTGTGCACACAGGGCACGGCTTTCTCCGACAGCTCTGCACTTGGTTTGCAAGCCACGTGCTGGATGTTGCACCGGGTTTATGGAGTGTATCAGGGCTTTACAGCACGGAAGCCTCTACGAGTGTCTCCCTCTTGCAGTCCATGATTTGACCAAGAAATGTAAGCAGATGTTAAGGAGGGATGTAAGGGATGTTAAAAAAAAAATCTTGGAAACGGTTTAGATGTAGGTGATTCCTTTAAGCCAAGGGACGGACCAGGCAACTCCTCAGCACCTCTTTCAGCTTCGCCTTTTGGAATTTTAAAAAAGATTTAGGAAGTTTCCAAAAAGCACGAAGCCAACCAAAGAATTTTACACCTCGGCATCCCCTCGAAACGAGCACCCCTCTCAGGGTCCTGACAAGCAGACGTTGTGGGACGGCTTCTAGAAGTTGGTCAGATGCTCTGCAAGGAGAGGAGCGCACGTTTTGGGGTCTCACAGAAAATCAGAAGCCCTGTTCTGGTGGGAAGAGCAGGTCTATCAAAAGTAGCACACTGGATGCTGATAATTTGCCTTAAAATAAAGCCATGCTGGGGAGAAATATTAGGCAATAGGTAAGAGAAAAAATGGGTCTATTGGGAAACTCCGAAGTTTTCTAAAACAATCCTTAAAATTCCTTGTTTCCCGTGCCATGCAAAATTATTCTGTACGCTAACATAAATAATGTGGAAGCATTGACAAAGGCTTTCAGTTCTGTTTGTTTGTTTTAAAATAAAAAATAAAATAAAATTTAAGAACCATTTTCCAAGTGGGAACGATTTTGCAAGGACCTCTCCTCTTTCACGCGATTTCAGACTTCAGGAACACCAAACCAGACGAAAACGAACTCGGAAAACATCCGAACAGCATGGGAAGCCCTCGGTGCACAAAATATTTCCGTGCATCCCACGTAAGAGTTATCTGCACGTGCATTCCCTGCCCGCTTCGATCACCCAAACCACTCACTTCTGAAGCATCAGCGTGGCGAGCAAGGCGCAGCTCCAGCCCTGCCTTAACACACCGGAGAAACGCCTCCCTGCAGCACCACGTGCACGGTCCAGAGCGGTGCAGGCTTTCAAAATGCATCCCTGCAGACCCCAAAAATCCAGGCTCCTACCCTCCAGCCTGCTTCAGCGCAGGGATTCAATGGCAAGCACGTCCCGTGAGCGTGGCCCTTCCTGTAAACGCTCCAGGACTTTGCATTCCCAATTTCCCGTGCTATTCACGCTTCCTAACAGCAGCTTGTGGTGGACGCGTGTGCAGTGAAGCTCGTGCAGACTTAAACAAACAAATAAATAATAAAATAAAATAATAACAACAACAAAAATAACCAGCTGATACACACCTGATTAAATAAACCAACATTTATAGGTAACAACGCAGTGGAGTGCTGGCAGATCTCTGGATTATAAATTATACTTAAAAAATATTTTTTTTAAATAAGGAAATTCTTAATTCTGTGCTTTCCTAACTGCCTACCTCCAAGGGTGTTACATAGTCTGAAATCTAGTAATGCACATGCTCGTTTTGTGTTTTTTTAATAGGGGGACAGGTTTTGCTCCTGGGTAACTCCGTGTCAGTGTACCGGTGAAGGGTTCTCACCAGGAAAGCCAAAGCAGCACGAGGGCAGCAGTTTGTTATTTCAGGGCTCTGCTGGTTTTTTAGAACACCATTTCAAAAGCCTCAGCACCTTCGCTGGGCTGTGAGGCCCAGGCACACCAAAAGCAGAATTTAACAGCACAAATCTTTTTGTAAGACAAACGCTGAGGGTCCTGGAGGAACAGAAAGAGCAACAGCTCTGAAAATGCGTTTGCTGCACATCTGGGTTTTGGTTTTTATTTCCACAGACAGTCTGCACGGCTGAGCTCAGACACTGCTCGCCCTGGCAGCGATAAGACGCTGTCCGCTGATAGGAAGATAAGGATTCCTCTGTGCTCCTACCGATGCTTTGAGGTGTGTTTCCGTGTGCCATTGTTTTGAGCAAGAATTTAAAAGTCAGATTTTGAGATAGCTCAGACCGCGCGTGCAAGCTCTTCGCTGGAATCCAAATCCACCCGTGACCTCTCTCCTTTTATTTCTTCTTCACTTCGCATTTCTAGCCCTGTCCCAGCCCAAGTTCCTATTTAAGGCCGAGAAACCACGAGGCAAGGCTCTGCTCAAACACCCGCAGATACAAAAACGCCTTGGGTACAAAGTCAGCTTGAGCTCTACCCCCAGCATTGCATCAGCCCGATTTCCAGATTTCCATCCCCACTCCAAACGCCCTTCACTCAGGTGCACTGCTCCTTTTACCTCTACATGGCTGGCATCGAAACGGTTGCCAGAGAGAGCCTGGGTGACCCAGCAGGCTTTAATATGACCACAAGGCACACGTCCCCGCGTGGATGTGGCTCCAGCACCGCTTACGGGGCACCGATCCTTCAGGAGCTTCCCCCGATTCCTCCTCTGGTGCAAAAGGGAAGGCAAATTTCGGCCCTGGAGGCTGCAAAGCTTATCTGTGTGCAGCAAGAGGGGCGGGACGTGCTCCAGGCATCGCGGTCCACATCTCGAGCAAGGGGACAGCCTGCGGGGACACGGGAACTCCCAAGTTTCTGTAGGGGATGGCTGCGGGTATTTGAGACGGGCACGCTCCAGAGAATCGTCCTGAGTAGAGCTGTTCTGGGTTGTGTCCCACAGCTCTGTGCCCCACAGAAATCATAACCTAACTCGGGATATTTTCAACATGTTTATTTTGAATGAATGAATGCACTTTTTAAAGTTCTCATTATTAAACGGGTTAATTCATCTCCACCAGAAGATTTGGTTCCCTGCAGTTATCCCAGAGTCTGACTCCAGCTGAACGCACAGCGAACGAAGGAGCCTTCTGCTTGTGCTTACCTAAAACTCTGCGAGACCAACGAGCACCCACGCAGCCGACCCAGCCTTTACAGCTCACAATTAACGCAGCCAATCAGCCTAAAAACCAACGAGGACCACAGCAGCCAAGCGAAGAGACCGGACCAAAACAAAGCCGCTCGCCACCCGCGATGCTCCCTGACTTCGCTTTCAGTTTCTTTGAACCCAGCCTCTGCTCCCGCTCGTAGGGAACACATTAAAGACAAGAGCCCTGTACAGGAATAATCCTCCCAGCCAGAGCTGAGAAACGGTGCCCGGCCAACAATCGGTTGAGGTTTGACACAACGCACCCAAAGCAAAGCTGCTTCCCACCGCGAGCCATCGGCTCACCCCGTTACCCGAGGTCCGAGGGACACGGGGACACCGCACGGCCCCGCTCCGCGAGCTGTGGGGTCGTGGGGCACGGCCACACGCACACAGCCCCGAGCCAGGAACCCGGGGAGAGCCTGATGGCAGCTGCCGAGCGGTGCCTTGCTCGCTTGGATCCTGCAGGCAGCAGCAGAGCAGATCCCCAGGTGAGGAATACGGCGCTCATAATTAAAGAGTTTGGCACCAAAACGACTGCATGGCCGGGAGCACGGGCTGCACACTAGCGAGGACGCAATCAGAAGGGGTTTTTGGGCTCCTCTTCTGCCAGCAAACCGTGACAACGGGGTGGCAGAGCATCAAGAACTCTGTTTTTCCCACATTTTCTTTTGCTGTGCATCTAGAATAAACAGAGATGCGTCCACACAAACCATAGAGCTGCACTGCAAAGCGCCTAAAAATCTCATGCATACACCAAGAGCTTAAAAATCGACACTGACACGGGAATTGGAACACTTCCTGAGAAATCCAACCCAAACTTTCCAAGAGAGAGGTTCCCCGGTACCAGACTGCATGTCCCCGGGGAACGGCACGCAGATAATTAAGCTCCCTCGAGTTTACCACTTGTAACCTTCGCGTCGTTTTATGGAAACAAACTGTATTTAAAGAAAAAAATAAAAAAAAGGAAGAAAATATTTACATCTCGACAACGTACGACTTGCTTGCTTGGACGACCACCGAGCACGTTGCCGTATGTTATCGGGAGGAGGTTTAGGGGCTGCTGTGACCTCGGGTACGAATCGAAAAGTTTCCAGGCACGGCTCGGGTCCCACCGCCAGCACTCGGCGCCCCCCGAGCCCACCTTTCACTCGGGGTTATTCGCTCTCCCTGCAGCTGTTTTCACTGAACTATTTTTAGCATCCATCTGAAAATAAGTGGTTTTTCCCCTTTAGGAAAAAAAAAGCCAATCACACCGTCATCTTTGTTCCACGCTGTCCTCTTTTCCCCCTTTTCAGCTACTCGGTCCCACTCTTCCTCCTCCTCTGCCTGTTTCCAACAACCTTTCCTGCAGGGTTTCTTTTCCTAATCTTTGATGTCCTCGCGTCCACGCTTCGCCCCTTTGCCACCTTCACCTTCCTCCACACAATGTCCTGACCCTGTCCCCTCTGTGTCACCAGCACCGAGGTGAGGATGGCGAACACCCCGTTATCCCCGCGGCTGTGCGACCATTCAAAACAACACTCCCAAATTTTATTATTTTAAGGATAAAATCAACATCCACATCTCACGCGGCCGAGCTGAGGGGCACAGACCCCGCGTGTCCCTGGGGTGATGGGGTCTCAGTAGGGGAAGGCACGGGGCAGGTGCGAGCCCTGAGGATGGGTGAGCAACGGGGGGACCCCAAATGGGCTGGGAGATTGATGGGGGGACCCCACATTGAGCTTGGGAGAGCAATGGGGGGGACCCCACTGCGGGTGGGTGGCTTATAGGGGATCCCAATGGGGATGGGGACCCTGCTCAGTCACTGCTGACTGATGGGGGGGTCCCAAATCTGGCTGGGCGGCTGAGGGGGGGACCCCTCCCCATCCCGGTGACCGATGGGGGGACCCTGTGGGACCAGGGTCTCGCTGGGGGGTGGGCACAGCCCAGGTGCGACCCCCGTGGCTCGGGGACTGACAGGGGGACCCCAATTGGGATAGAAGAGCAACACGGGGGGGGGGACCCCTCTGTGTGTGGGTGACACGGGGACAGGGCCGGGACCCCCGCTCTGCCAGGGGGGGCCCCGCTCCGTGCGGGCGAGCGCCGCTGACAGCCCCCGCTCCACCCCAGTGCCAACCAGTGCTCACTGGGAACAGCTGGGAGGAGGGGGGGGGGCTATAAGACCCCACTGCCAGCCCCCCCCCCCCAACCCTCCCCCTCCCTCCTCCTCCTCCTCCTCCTCCTCCTCCTCCCCCCCCCGCGGCCGCCCCGGTGCATGCCGGGCGGGGGGGGGGGGGCGCTCCCCACTCCCCCCCCCCCCCCCGCCCCCCTCCCTCCGGCCCGTTCCGGCCGGGGCCGGTTCCAGCCGGTGCCGCGTTCGCGCGCGCGCCGCCCGCTGACGTCAGGCGCGCGTTGGCGCGCGCGCGGCGGAATCGGCGGCGGCGGCGGCGGCAGCAGCAGCGGCGGGGGGGCGGCCCCGTGCGCGCGCGCGCGCGCTCCCTCCCCTCCTTCCCCTCCCTCCCTTTACGTACGTGTAGTGCTGCGGCTTCTCGGGCTGCGCCTGCAGCGCGCTGGCGGCGTTGGCGGGCCCGGCCGCGGCGGGGCCGCCCGGCAGCGGGCCCTTGGACATCGCCTCCCGCCGCCGCCGCCGCCGCTCCCGCCGCGGAGCCCTTTATTATTCACTCTGCGCGGTCCGCACGGAGGGAGCCCCGCGCAGGCGCCGCCGCCGCCATTGCCGCCCCGGCGGCGCGGGGCAGGCTGGGAGTTGTAGTCCCGCCGCCCTCGCGCTTTCCGCTCGCTCCGGAGGCGGTTTCCGGGCGGCGGGACTACGAGTCCCAGAGGGCCCCGCGCGGGCGGCGGGGGAGGCCGCTTCCTGCCGCGCGGGGGGTGCTGGGGGTTGTAGTTCGAGGGGCACGGGGAGGGCGCCCCCGGGCGGTGGGGGGGGGGCACGGCGGAGGCCTCCCCGCGGGCCTGGGCGCTGAGGGGAGCAGGAGGAGGAGGAGGGGGGAAGGGAGGAAGGCCCAGGAAGCAGCGGGCAGCCTACCTGCGAGCAGAAACCCGGGGGGGGGGCTCCAGGTTCAGCCCAGGCCTCGCACGGGACCCCCCCAGAGCCCGGCGGGTCCGTGAGGAGCCCCCCGGGACCCAGCGGGACGGGACAGGACGGGACGGGGCAGGCTGCTCCCGGGGACTTTGCTCCCCCAGCTGCCACCCCGCACGGCTCCGCTCGTGTGGCGAAGGGCAGCTTCTGTGGCAAACACCCCCCCCTTTTTTTTTTTTTTTTTTTTTTTTTTTTAAGCTTTGCCAGCATTGAGCAACGTTAATGATAAACCTATAAACCTCCGGGCCCGCTGAGGTCGGGCGGCTGTGGCGGGGAGGTGGGGAAGGGCGGTAATCGCCACCCAGGCTCGGCATCGCCCGTGGGGCACCTAACAGCGAGCTCTCTGCCTTTGCAGGATTATCCGCGTGGGACCCACGCCGTGGCCGTGGAACAGCCCCCCCGTGGCAGCAAACACCCAGAATCACGCAGCTCGTGGTCGAGCGGGACGACTGCTCAAAGGCAGGAGGTGTGGAGGGATGTCACGTAGCGTCTCCATCCATGTACACCCCGTTGGGTCAAAGGTACAGGCGCTGTCGGCGATGAACCCGCAGGAAAAACCTGCTCAGCTAATAACACTGCTGCCTCGTGCGCAGGGATTCGGAAACCACTGACTCGAGTCGCTCTGTGCTGCTGTTTACTTGACGATCTGGTGCGGACGCTGTTTCCTCTTCTGCTTCACAGTCAGGAAAACTCAGCGCAGGAAAACTGCCAAGCGACAGAAACGTTTAGGAGCCGCCAGCTAAGTGTGCCCAGGGTGCACTTAGTTCTGTCTGCGTGCACATCTTTGTTAACGCGCGGTCGTTTACTCGGCTCTGCTCTCTACGCCTTTCCCTCATCCTCTGTTTAACCCGACAGGACGCTCAGCTTTGCTCCAGCCTTAATTCAAAGAGAAGGAAAATCAGAAGTATCTAAAATTAGAAGCGTAAGCAATCATCGCTCCAGAAACATGGGAGAGGAAATACCTGAGGAGCAATGCCTCAGCTCCCAGTAACAAACGCCCAGCACCGGTCCCCTCACATTAGCAATAGCGTGGTCTGCTTTTAAAAATACCAAACGTAAAGGCTGTGCAGTTTTCAGAACAGGTTTCTAGATTTCTTGCTCCTAAGCGCAAACAACTCAGGCCAAAGGGGAACTCTTTATTTCAGGTCTCAATTTTCCCAACCACGTAAAACGCAAATGACTGTTTACACACACCTCCCGGCTCATCCCCTTGCTATGCTGCTTTTTGTCTCCCGACGAGTAATTCACCTTGGTTCTTCGCAGAGAGAAAATCAACCCAAAAAAGCGATCGGAGGCCGGGGGGATGCAACGTGCCCCCGGCATCCCCTGCCCCGCCGCACACCACGGTGCTGTCGCACCGCGTTGGCGTGCGTTTGCTCGTCTCACCAGGGCAGAGAAGCCAACGAGACGCACGCTCTGTACGTGCGGCAGGAGCCCTGCTCTGCCCGTCAACACCGGGCGTTGGCCTGAGGGACGCAGGCGTTCGGGGAGGATGCAAAACCTCATGCAAAGTCTGCCTGATGGCAGCCGCTGAGCCGAGCGCGCGGGTACCTTCGGGAGCGGCTGTGGAGCAGGAGGCTGGTTGTGTTCGCTCCATGCTCGGCGTGCTACGACTGCGGGGCATTTGGGACCTGTTCTTCCTGCCCATGGCACCCTTCCCGTGGGGGCAGGGGCCTGCCTCCACCCCCAGCAGTCGCTCCGGCTGTAATGAAGCAACGAGGCGCAGCGAGCCGCGACTGGAGGTAGCGACCTGCCCCAGGAGACACGGCGTTTTGACCTAATTGCTGTTCTCCTCCTCGATGCTACCAACAGGGCTGAGGGATTCCGGCTTCCCACTTCCCCCAAAACTTTGCAGGGAGCTTTGGGAGTTCGAAGGCGCCCAACAAGGCGCGCGGGAGCCCGGTGTGGGGAGGGGAGCGGTGGTGCCAAGGGACGCGGCCTCCTCGCACACCCACACCCAGCACACGTCCCGGGGCGACGTCCCCGCTTGGCCCTGAGCATCGCTCTGACCCCGCTCACCTCCTGGAGGACCCCACAGCCCCACAACTCCCCCGATTCCCCCCAAAAACCCCGGGACGAGCCCTTTCAGCCCCCCCAAACCCCTCGGTGACCCCAACACCAGTGGGTGACAAGCGCTGGCGGCCCGGCCACGCTGCGTGGCCGCACCAGGAGCACACGCTGCCTGCCGGGGATGCTCGCACCCCCTCTCTGCCACCTCCCCGCGCCCCCCTCCCCAACCCCGGGGGCTGCGGTCCCCCCACGGCCGGGGGGGGCACAGCGGGACCCGGGCACCCCCCGCGGCCCGGCCCCGCCGCTCGCAGCCGCCGCTAAAGGCGCTTTCTGGCGGGGCCGGGGGGCGGGCGGGCCGGCAGGCGGCGGGGCCTCGTAGCCCCCCCCGGGGCGAGGTGGCCCGGCGGGGCCGGGGGTAGCCCCGGTGGCCCGGTGGCCCGGCGCCGCTCGCCCCGCTCCTATTGACTTCCCATTGTGGAGCTTTGCAACAAAGGGTAGGATCCAAACCGTGCCCCGTTTCGTCCAATCAGCGCGCAGAGCGCCCGCCCGCCGCCGATTGGCTCCTTGGCGCTCCGCGCCGCCCAATCAGCCGCCGACTTTAACATCCAATCAGCGGCCGGGCGCTCGCCCAATCGGCGGCGAGGAACCGGAGCACGGCCTTTGTGTCTCGTGACGCCACGGCGCCGGCGGAGGTCCCGGCCAATTGGACGGCGCGCTGCTTTCGGGCATTGTGAGGTCACCGCGCCGTGTGCCGCCCCCGCTATAAAAAGCGGGTCCCCGCGGCGGGGAGGGCGCAGTGAGGGGGTGGCAGGCTGCGGAGCGGGTCGCGGTGGGAGCAGCGCAGGCTTCGGTGCGCAGCGAGACCGGCGCCGGTGCGTCCTTCTTCTCTAATCGGTAAGCGGCGGCTACCGGGTGCGTTCCTCGGGAGCGGTGGTGTCGTGCGGCTTGTTTTTTTTTTTGTTATTTTCTTCTTTTTTTTTTCTTTTTTCTCGGAGCTTGGCTGCCGGGCCGGGCCTTGCCTACGTGCCCTGAGTCACGGCCGGGCCCCATCCCCCCCCTCCCTTCCTTCCCCTCCCTCCGGGGCGGCCCGGGAGGAAGCGGGAGGCGGCGTGACTCAGTCCGCTTCCCCCGGGGAGGGGAGCGGCCGGGCCGCGACGCGGAGAGCGGGGGCGGAGGGGGGGAAACCGTGACTCCTCCTCCTCCTCCCGGGGGAGGCCGCTGGCCGCCTGCCCGCCTCGGCGGCGGGGGAGGGAGGGGGCAGCCCGCCGGCATCTGCCGCCTCGGGGACGCGGGGGGGGTTGGGGGGATGCCGCCATGCCGGGCCTGTGGAGGGTCGTGCCGGGACAGCTGGGCCCTGTCTTAGGCGTGCTTGTCTTCGTAGGTAAGTGAAGAAAAATGGCCCGTACAAAGCAGACTGCCCGTAAGTCCACTGGGGGGAAGGCTCCGCGCAAGCAGCTGGCCACCAAGGCGGCCCGGAAAAGCGCCCCCTCTACTGGCGGCGTGAAGAAGCCTCACCGCTACAGGTAAGGCTGCCGGCACGGTACGGCCCGGCCCGCTGCTGCCCCTGCCCCGGCTCACCTGCTCCTCCTTCCTCCACCCAGGCCGGGCACCGTTGCCCTGCGTGAGATCCGTCGCTACCAGAAGTCGACGGAGCTGCTGATCCGCAAGCTGCCCTTCCAGCGGCTGGTCAGGGAAATCGCCCAGGATTTCAAAACAGACTTGAGGTTCCAGAGTGCAGCCATCGGTGCGCTGCAGGTATTGCTGGCGGCCTGCTGGGCCTCGGAGCTCGCGGTGCTGAGCGTGCTTCGCTGAGGGTTTCTAACGACATTTCTTCTTGTGCTCTTGAAACAGGAGGCCAGCGAAGCATATCTGGTGGGTCTGTTTGAAGACACAAACCTGTGCGCCATCCATGCCAAGAGAGTCACCATCATGCCCAAAGACATCCAGTTGGCTCGCAGGATACGGGGAGAGAGGGCTTAAGTGAAGGCTGTTTTTATGGTGTTTTGTAGTAAATTCTGTAAAATACTTTGGTTTTAATTTGTGACTTTTTTGTAAGAAATTGTTTATAATATGTTGCATTTGTACTTAAGTCATTCCATCTTTCACTCAGGATGAATGCTAAAAGTGACTGTTCACATAAACCTCAGTGATGTGAGCCTTGTTGCTCAGGAGTGACAAGTTGCTAATATGCAGAAGGGATGGGTGATCTTTCTTGCTTCTCATGCATGTTTCTGTATGTTAATGACTTGTTGGGTAGCTAAACTTGTAAGGTACTAGAATTGATATAAATGTGTACAGGGTCCTTTTGCAATAAAACTGGTTATGACTTGATCCAAGTGTTTAACAATTGGGGCTGTTAGTCTGACCATACATCACTGTGATCAAATGTGGACTTTTTCAGAGGGTGAAACTACAAGTCTTAACCACAGTGTAACTTACAGTTTCCTAAAAACGTAAACCTGGCAGCTATAGAATACACTATGTGCATTTATAATAGCTATTTTATATATTGTAGTGTCAACATTTTTAAATTAAATGTTTTACATTCACATGTGAGGAGTCTTTGTCATTTGGTTTGTATGGGCTTGAAGCTTATTCCCGGCTCCAGTATGGTAGCAGTAGATGCGTGCAATACTGGGCTGTGCTGTGGCAACTTAGGCTTTCGACAGAGCTAGAGAACCTGCCCTGGTCACCCTTGAGTTTTTAGGAACCTTGCTGTAGTTGGAGCCCTGGCTGAGGGAGCAGAGGGGTAGGTGGACAGGCCTGGGCTAAGCTCCAGCTGCCTTCTCTGGGGGGAATTTTGTTGTAACTGTTTAGTGGTGGCAGCTGCTCAGGCACAGCTGTAGTGCTAAGCTTTTTTTCTTCCCTTTTTGTACCTGTAGGGGAAGTTCATGGTGAAGTGTTAACGCTGGCTTGCCTGCAGTGAAACCCCCAGCCTCTACCCTGCTGGGCCAGGGCTGTGTCCTGGAGCCTGGGACACCCCTGTGGGGCTGAGGTGCTGGCTTCTGCCTCCCCCTGCTTCTGTGATGGTGCCCCATGACTAAGCCCAAGGTAATGCAGTAGCTATGCTGTAGCAGTGCAGGATGGTATGCAAATGTGAGACCTAATTAGACAACCTGAGTGCAGATGGGCTGCCTGGCAAACCAGAGAGTGCTGCTAGGCTCTCGGTAAGAGCCTCATTTCCCAGCTAAGCTTTTTTGATGAGACAGGATTAGACACAAACCTTCGCTTCAGACTGTTCCTCCAGGCTTCCTGCTAACACCGTTCTGGTTTTCTTAGTAGTGTCGCTGGGAACAGCCAGGCCTTAATAAGCTGTGGTATGGAAAAGCTGCTCAGACTACATCTGGAACAGGTAATTAACATCTAAATGGAAATTGCTAGACCGGCTTTCCTTGCTTCTTAAGGAACAGGATATGCTGGTAAGGCTAAAGTGAAGGCAGAAGTTGCACAAGGAAGTAGCTCAAGCTAGTCCATCTTGATTTATTTCAATAAAAAAATATCCACAGAGAAAGAAGCATTTGGGGAGGAAGAAGGAGTTGTTTATACAAGAGAGCAGGCAATAAGTCAACGCTGGCCACGCATGCAATTGTTTTAAGACCGGATGCGTTTACAGCACTTCCTCCTACAGCAACATCCTGAAAGTACAAAAATACCGCTCCGGCCAGGCACGGGAGCTGGACCCCCAGCCTCACCCACAGGGGTGCTGGGTTTTGGGTTAGCCTGAGCTGGGTCAGCAGAGCAGGGGGGAGCACAGGGCTCGAGCCAGGGCTGGCCCTTATCAGACAAACCACTCGGTGTGTTTAAATCCTGCAGCTGGAGAAACAAGTGCTCATTACCATGGGCTCTTACACAACTTCCTCAACACCCTTCCCTATCTGCTCCGAACGTACTTGGAACAAACGCAGCCCCTGGTTAGGATCATTATCATAACTGCCACGGAGCTGCTAAAAATACGACTTTAAGTGACCTAAGATTAGATTTTAGGTAACGCTCTTCCTCACTGCTGAACCAGGAGGGAAAAATAATTCATTGCACCTAAATTGTGAACTTAATTGTTTTCAAGGGCTGGCTGGAAGCTGATCAGAGGGGGCTGTTACCACCTCAGCGCCTTTATCTGTCTGCCTCAGGAGCTGCCTTCAGGTTTTTGGGTAACAGCACGGGGAGGAGCTGGGCTGCAGATCCCACACAGACCTCACAGGTGCCTCCTGCCGGGCACAGCCCTCCGAGGGGACACCGAGCAAGGATGTCCCACAAGAAACCAGGGGTCAGCAGTAGCCCAGGAGCCACCTAACTTGGGAAGCTTGTACATAGGCTGGTTAAAAATAGGAACTGCGAGTGATGGGATTTAGTAATACTTGATCTGGTGTTAAATGGCAGTAGCAGGCTGGGCTCCTGGAGGAAAAGCATGTTGTAAAATAACATCCCTCGAAAACAAAGTTTCCTCCAAGTACTTAGTGGAAACAATGAAACATCTGGGTATGCCTAGAAGCTGTTTCTTAAAATAATTGTCAAGCAGTTCTAAAGGAAAAAAAAAAAGTAAAAAGGAAAAAACCTATCAAAGTATCTATTCATCTTAGTAATCTCTACAAAAGCAATTGTTAGATCTTGCATGTGGTGGCATGGAATAGCAATTCTTGGTACTCCACATTTTACTGTAATTATATCTGAAGAAATAAAATGTTCCCTTACCAATTCTCTTGATGATTTCCTCGCATTCTTGCTCTGAACCCGATGCAAACACTAGACAGTCAAACGTGTTCCCTTCGGGGCTCTCCGGGGACGAGCTAAATGTGGAAACACGCATCAGAGCGCGCCAGGACTCGGTCGGGAGGGACCAAGCGCCAGCTCCTGGAATCGCACGAGCAGCCACGCAGCAGGCTCAGCGCTGTGTTTCCAGGACCCACATCCCCCCTACATCCCCCTTTTGGGGCAGGATGCCCACTCCCAGCCCCGCTGCACGTCCCGTGTGCTGGCCAAACCGTTGCCCTACTGGAACTGATTTTCCACGCTGGTCACACCGCACGTGGC